AAAACTTATTTCAAGATATTTGGGTTTCCTACATTTCCAAGTTTTTATATAGCACTTCCAAAGGTAATAGAATTTGAGAGTGGGAGGAACCCAATCGGGATGTTAAAACAGTGACTTAGACACTACTGTTTTTTACGAAAAGATTGTTTCTTTTTGTTTGTTTTGATTGTTTGGAATTTCTCCTGTTTCTTTTTTCTTTATTTCACTGTTTGTTTCCTGTCATGGTTCCCATATACTAACACCCATCTCCAGGCTCCTTGCTACAATGAGTCTTACCTCTGCTACACAGCTATTGTACTGCTGGCTTCCAGCTCAAACTTATGTATAAAACTGTCATAATTATTATAAATTCCAGGACTGGCACCGAAATAGATTTTTTACCCTTTATATAAAAGAGTATATTGAAACAAAACAAACAAACCTACAGGAAAATTGTTAATTACTGCGTGCAATATATGTCCTAAAGGGAGACAGATTCCTTGACTCCTTGAAAAGCTAACCTCCTAAGGAGGGTTCTTAGAAAGACTACTGAGAAATAGTTTTGTTCATCTCCCTCTCTTCTGAGGTATCCCACTTCCATCAGAGAGAAGTGCTTGTGTTTTGATGGCTGAAGTTGCTGCGCCTCTCTCATCATCTCTCTATTGATGTAAATCCTTCTCTGGTGTGGCAATTTTACCCAAAATTTAACACAGTTCTGATGGGCCCAGAGCTGACATGCTAGGAGAGCTAAGGCATACGTTGAAAATAACTCACTTTGAATGCATGTATGTGACCACAGTTCTGTGTTTTAGACAGCACATTATTTTGCTGCTACATAAATAGACTTTGGCAAATTTAACAAACATGGCATTTTGTTCTTGGCCTCTGTAAAGTGTCTGTCTGTGGTAGGGAACATCCCATACATGGCCCACATACACACAGGCTTCACTCATGGTCCCTTTTGCCATGTAGACCTTTACTCATGTTTTTTATTATTTTATGAGCTCCTTTAATAGTGACAGCAGCTATTTTGCTCCTCTTTTCCTGGGTGCCTGGAAACCCCAGGAAGTGTAGAGCTGAGCTGAGCTGGAAGTGAAGTGAGAAGGAGCTTTAGGAGATCAACTTGGATAGCTAGAGAAACCAAGGTGGCATAAGAAAGGGTAAGGAAGAAGTATCAAAAGAGTTGCAGACCCTATGCACTGTGCATCAGGGGAAATAGGTTTGGTCGTGCTGTAAAATCTTCTGTACAAGAGAGGTTTCTGTACAAATAATATCTTCTGGTGGTGTTGTGGCTCAGTACTTAGCACTGAAATGCAGAGAGTTTTAGGCCCAAGAAAGAGGGTTACTGTGAATTCTCTCCTGTCCTCTTCTGCTTTGAAGACAGGACAGTCAGCAGCCCCCATATCAGCATGCTATCTTCTAAGCTGCAATAGGAGCCTATAAAAAAATTCAAGCAGCACAGCAATCTCCATACTTTCTGAGTTCTCGGGCTAGATTTTCCCATTTCCATGTGCTGTTACAGTGAGCAGACAGGGGCATCCCTACAGCGTGATGTCACACAATGACTTTGTCTGTCACAGAGCAATTGGCTGTGAAATGTCCTCATGTGAGGGCCAGGGCCTCCTACACCCAAAGCAAACGTGAGTACTGGGAAGTGAGGCAACCACAAAGAACTGGCTGTGGAACATATTTCAGGCTGCCAACTCCTGGAGCAAACCAGAGCCGGAGGGATCCTGAGCCAGCTGATGCTGCTGGCAGAATGTCAGCACCCTCCTGTCAGCATAAAAAGAGTTTATCTTGTCTACAAGGCTCCTGGACCTGACATGCACCCAAACACCCTCCAACCTTCTGTGGGTTGGGTTAGCACCAGATACCCTGCAGAGAGTAGTCTGTCAGGTATTCGCAGGCTTTTGGTAATGAGTCTTTGGATAACATCAGATCCTCTTCCCTAGAGACTAAACCAGAGAATGAAATCACCACTGCATGTTATTCTGTCAGAGAAAGGGCCAACATTACAGATATCCCAACTATGAGCTGAAGTTGGCTTTACTTCTCCAGTTCAGCCAGAAATGTGTACTCAAGTTGTAGATAAAAGTCAAATGGCCAAGCCATCCCGAGAGGACTTGACTACAAAGTTGATAAATATACTGCTGAACCTACATAAGGATTATTTTGCCAGCAACCTTAGCTTGTAATGCCAAAGTTACTCAGCTTTATAGCACTCTAGTGTCAAGACAGCAGATGTGTGTATATGAGACTAGTGTGGCTGATACTGTCAGATGTCTAGATGTGAGTTTACAATTCAGCTCTGTAAGCTCATGTCAGAAGTAACAATTCCCTTACTCTTCCACTTGCAACCCTTATTCTTCCGTTTGCCTTCTGGTTTTTGTTTCAGAAGAGGGGAACCTGTCCTCTCTTCAAAGAAAATACTGGAAATTGCTCACTGTGCTCTTGAAAGCTCTGCCCATGTTTCCAAGCTTCCTTGTGAGTTCAGGATTCATGCAATCATTAGCAAGCACCGAATTCTGATCATCTGTCAGAAGCAAAAAATGTTCTCTTGTATTTGCTATTTACAATATCTGCGAAGTATCCTAACTTATAGGATATCCCTTCCCTGGCATCTCTCCTATGCTTGTAGGGATGCAGGCAATACCCCAGAGCACCTTCTCCTCATGGATGAGTGAGAGAGTACAATGACCTCTTACTGTGTGGGAGCAGCTGTGTAAGGCTCTGGGCTGAAAGCACCTTGCATACTCCTCAACAGCAACTATAGGTACTTCCTTGTCAAGCAACAGGTGTATGAGGGTGTCTTGTGGCTTTGCTTGCAAGAAGGACTTTTATTTGGAAGGGAAAATGTCGGTTTGCATGTTAAGGTTTCAGAAAAAGTGAGAATACCAGAGGCTCAGTATTTTGCCGAACCGGCTTATGAGGTGCCAGTGACAGTGCTTCCATAAGGATGTCTTGAAAAGGTTTCATGGCCTCTTTGAGATCCTATCTGGTTCATACAGGCAGATTTAATGGGAAGTGATTCTGAAGCCTCCCCATGTACATGTGGTGTACACGGACATGGTGGCGCAAAGCCACCACCACAGTGTGGCTTCTTCTATCCCCAGCAGGCTGCTACACTGACATGGAACTTCCAGTGAAGATAACAATGTCAGTTCCTAACCATGTTAAAATAGTCATCTCTTCCCCCTCCCACCCTTCTGAAGGAGGTAAGGGAGGCATTTTTAAAAGTAGCACTTGTTAACGGTTTTCAAGGATATCAGCCTTACTACTCGGTTTGCTCTCCTGCTTTGTTTGCCTGGACTGCTTTTTTTTAGAAAAAGATTATGTCAAAACTAGAAGCAAAGTATCAACTGTAGAGGCAAGATGGGTCATACCCGGTTGCACTACAAAGAACAAGAATGTGTTCAGCTCTCAGATCACAATTGTTAGCAGGCATAAGAATCTCCTCTCTGTTACCTCTGTAGGCTCTTCTCTCTATACTGGCATTCCTTTGATGGCTTCTGTTTGAAGTGTCCACTGCTCTATCTTCTAATGTATGTGCTCTCTTTTCTAGTCCTTTATTCTCCTGTAGGTCTTTTCCTTCCATTGTGTCTCTCACTGATCTGAATGAGTTTCATGTGTTACAGCATCCCTGGCCAGCAGGGCTATTTATGTGCACTGAATATCTGCAAAATGGAAATTCATGTGCTCTGAATAATCTCTTGGATGAAGCACAGTAGCCCCAGATTTCTCAGAAACACAAATGTCGTGGCAGCTTGCGAGCTTCAGATTCAAAGCTGGAGTTGTCCTCTCCCAAATGTAGCAGTGTTCAGATATGGGATTGTCTCTACAGCAGCAGTATAAAAATAAGCAAGCAAGAAAATCAACGCCCTTGTAAGTTTAATTTTGAAGTTTTTAAATAGTAGGAATGAAAAATATAGAAGTCTATCCCTCTGTCTGCCATCATTGCTTTTCATTACCCTATTTTTGAATGAGATAGTCTTACTTTCAGCCTAAAATATGAAATGAAGAATAGATTTGAGAATGAGATAAGGAACTCAGCCTTCTCACAAGTGTCTCTCTGTCTATGCTGTTGGTTGTCTTCCAGACACAGTTTGGCTCTACCTCAGTCTCAAAGGGTGGAGCCTCACACAACTTTGAATCCTGGCAGTGTACATGTTTACATGTAGCCTATCCATCTAGCTGCTTTTTATAATTGGCAGAGTAAAATAGGCTTCTCTGGGGTGTGTGTTGTCTTACTGTGAGGTAGACTATCACATGTGTTACTTTGAAGGTCAGTCATACTTTGGGACCCCTTCGTAGCAGAGAAATTTTGGCAATAAAGCATGGATGTGGTGATTTATATTCTGGGCATCCAGAGCTGATTTCCACTATGTCCATGAGGAGTGTGTGGTTGGGGGAACTGAGTGCTGGGTGTCTGCAGGTGGACTCATTTGTGTTTCCTCTGTTTGAGGAAGAGTGCTTGGTCTCTGCTTGTCAGCGCAGTAATGCAGTGAGAACGAGGTTTTACTCTGCTAAAGAGCCCCAGAGTGGATGTCTGTGCCCCAGAGGGCACTTGCATGCTAGTGACAAGGGTGCTGGGTGCATCTGAACTGGGCGAGAGGCTCTTACCTAAACTCTTAAACTTACCAACAGTCTAGCTGACACCAAGCTGCTGGAGGGCAGTTCGCTGCACTAGTATAAACAGTGGTGAGCAAGAAAAGCCTGGGATAGCCTCAGCTCATGCTACCAGGGCTACACTCCTGACAGTGCTTGAACCATTCAGAGTGAGGCTTGCTGGAGTAAGATGGGTGGGTGTGTCTGCACAGGCTGCCTGTGGGGAGGTGTTATATGTGCTCATGTGGCTGTACTGCCAAGTGACCAAGCACTGTGTTAGGCGATGAGGGAGGCAGGTGATTTCTACCCACACAAACTTGCCAACTCCACTGAAAATAAGACAAAGGGACAAATGACTGCTAGGAAGTTTGGAAAAACTGTTAAAACAAAGCAAACCTCTTCACTTCTCTCTCCAGGTCGCTACCCACAGCAAAACAAAGGCACCTACATCCCAATCATAGTAGGTAATGTGCTGAAACCGGGTGAGTGGGGAGCCAAGATTACTCACAGAGAGAACAACTCCATTCGCCTGTCCATCATGTCTTCTGCCACCTGCATCATTGGGAAGTTCCGTCTGTACGTTGCTGTCTGGACTCCCTTTGCCATCCTTCGGACACGCAGAAACCCAGCAACCGACACGTACATCCTGTTCAATCCCTGGTGCCAGAGTAAGTACCTCACCAAAGGTTCACACTTTCTGCTGCTGAGCTCATCAGGTTTCGGGAGGGGCTGGTCCAGGAAGGACAGCTTGGTACTAAGGAGTTTGGAGACATGCCAGTTTGGGTCTGGAAATTTTACATAAACTCTGCCAAGAGTTAAGTCTTTCAGGCTGGAGAATAGCCCTGTGTGAGCAGGGCTCCATGCTGGAGACCAAAGCCTGTGCTGTATTTGCACTCTGCAGTTTTACGAGGCCAAGCCTGTGTTTACCAGTTTCTGTTTCTCATAGCAAACATACCACAAGGCTTCACTCTGACTTGAATACACAACAGCATGAGCCTCCTGCCTGCCTGTGTGTGCTTTAAACTGACAAGTCAATAGGGGCGAGTCTTTTTTGAGGATTTGGTGTAGGGAAAGATGTGGCAGCCTCCTGTACTTTGCTGACTTACATCATAGATTGCCACAGTTAGGACTGAACATCTGCAGCCAAAGTGCAGGAATTCAATGGGAGCTGCTGCTCCTGCACAGGCTAGGTGGAGTCTGCTTGCTGTGGCATCGCTGGTAGTACCTTCCTGCTGCTACATGACATTTGCCCTTATAACTTCCCCTTTTTTGGTGACTAATTAGCAACCGTGGCCTCTGTGAGGAACAGAACATTTTGCAAATGAGCCATTTTTTATAGTACAGTGCGTTGAAGAACAATTTATTTCTTTGAAATCTCCCAGTATCATGGGGAAAACATCAGGCCTTATGCTGACAGGATTGTATTTTACCCAATGAACTCCATGTGTGGCTTTAAGGAGAGGGGAAGATGGACCAGAGTGGTTTGACTCAGCCTTCTTACAGGCTGTAGCACTGTGTCTCAGCTTTTGACACCTGTAAGGCTCCAAGCCATATGTATTGCGATATATTTAGGTCACCAGCTAACCTTAATATTCTTCTGCCACCCTTCCTTCATCTTTCAATTTTTTACCAGAATATTTGCATCAAATAATCCCATACCAAACAAGAGCCATCCTACCAAGTGACAAGTAAATTTAGCATTATTAATAGAGTCCATTATTCAGCTGCACTACTGTCATTACATCGAATGATTTGTGCTGAATTCATTACTTGCCCCTAGTCCAAGGGAATATAAGCAATGATTAGCTTATGCATTATTTAAGAACATATATGTTAATGCTGAATAAAGAGGAGTTAGTTAAGTGGGAACAGGAGGGAAGGGCAGGACCCAGTGCGCTGTGACACTGTGAGATACTCCTGAAAGCAGTGTAGAGGTAAGGTATCTTAGAGCAGCATGCTAACAGTTTGTTCTGGGAGAGGAGGGAGAGTGTGCAACAGAAAGAGAGGAATCACTGCCAGATTAAAATCTGCTGTGAGCAGACAAAACTGCTCAAAGTTTGTGTTGGCATCATCAGCATCTCACAGCTTCAGCCAGGGAGGTGCAATTTTCCACTTCAAGGTAGATCATCACTTGGTTGTAGTCCTGGATGTTGTAACAGTCAGTTTGTTAGCCTATATGGTGACTGCAGTGGTTCAGCACCTCTTTGGAAAGGGATAAACCCCAAAGAAAAAGCTTCTTAAATTGCCTCAGTTTGCCTCATGATTTGCAGACAACCAGCTAGGGCTGGATGCAGCCTTATATGGAGAAAAGATGTGGTGTGTGGGGGTTGGCTACCCCACTGTGGTGTGACAGACCGCACAGGCTGATTTGAGGTGTTAGTCAGAGGAAAAAAAAGGGAAAATCAATCCCTTCATCTCTTCACATCTCCTTCCCTACCAGCTCTGTGTGCTGAGTGATCCACCTCTGTCCATGGCACACAGGCACTTTGCTCTCCTGTGCCCTCCCTCCTTCACCTGAGCTGAATGGGGCCAAAAGCCAACAAGGTTAAAACTACAACAAAGGAGCAAACCCAAAGGGAGCAAGACATGGAGCAGTTGCCTCCAGTGGGGCAGGCATTGCCAAGGCCAATGGAAAAACTCTGCTGCAGGAAAGCAAAACATAGTCTCTGGGCAACAAGGACTGCTGTGTGACCCCAGATCCAGGGGAGGCAAGACAGGGGCCATATTTTCATCTGTAGCTTGCATTTTAAGGTGTATCTGAATGGCTTCAGATTCTCTCCCTTGCTGACTATTGTAGTTTTCATTTCCTGCATGTTTCATTTTGATTTGGATTTATTCTCATTTCTTGTTCCTACTTTTACTCCTAGGTAGTTTGGGCTAATTAGCTCCTCTATCTGCCTTTTTCCCCTTTCCTTGTGTTAGAAAATCAAGGACTGTTTCTCCACGCTTTGTCCCCTGGCTGGAAAAGATTTTTCAGTGTAATGACAAAAGGGTGAAAAAATTCAGGCAGTTAAAGTGCAGAGAAAACAATAGTTTGAAAATCTTCTAGACTTGTTTGCTGGGTTAATAGCTAAGCAGAAAAGTCTGAGTGAAAAGCCTCATTAAAAAGAGAGAAGTGATTCATTTGTGATGCCAGAAATGAATGGGGATTGTTATAGCAGGGAGCAGAGTACAGGCTCAACTGCCTAGTGCAGCTTTCCGACTCATCATTTTGGAGAAACATCAATACGTCGGTATGAGCTTTTCTTTAAGACAGAAGCATTTGTGCCCTTTCCTATTACTTCTTTTCTCACTGTAGTGCAGTTTTGACATATCTTCCCAGAGAGGGATGCTGTTTTTTTCCCTGCTGTTTCAGAATAAGTTTGAATACCAAGTCAAGCTACAGAGTACTTTACTTACAAAATCGTCAGATGCTTTTATATATGTTAATCCCCTTAGCTATATTTAGGGCTGATCACCAAGAATACTTTAACAATGCAGGACCTGAGCCTGAAAAATTAAATACACTGGCCCCAAACCGCAGGTGAAATTTTCATTACTTAATAAACAAGGTAAAGTCTGTGAGGAAAGGCAGCATTCTTTCTTCAGCCAGCTGACATAGATAAAACAGATGTGCTTTTGGGCATGCAGAGCCCTTTTCAGTTGGGAAACAGAAGATACAAATGGCAAGTAGTTAAGAATAACTTCTCTAACTAAACTCTTGGCAATATCAGACTACATGAAAGGGGAGAAGAACTCCTTTGATCTGGATACTGCAAGCTCTTTCCAAGGAAATACTGAGTCCCAGCAACCTTCTGCTGGGGACCATTTAGTGCTTATCAGGAAAAGACCTTGTGTTGACTTCTGTGGCTCTCTCACAGATGGAGATGTATAGTGTAGCTGAGTAAGTTGCAGACCCTGTGGGTCCCTCACCCAAACCTCAGGCAAAGTGTATTGTATTTAAGCAATTAAATATATTGCAACTTTACTGAGTCAGTTGCACATTTCTTGTGCTTAAATGTCCTAATACAGTTTAAGGATTAGTATCATAGAGTCATAGAGTCACCTGGGTTGGAAAGGACCTCTGAGATCATCAAGTCCAACCTTTTATCCACTACCACTGCAGTTACTAGACTATGGCACTCAGTGCCACATCCAGTCTCGACTTAAAAACCTCCAGGGACTCCAAAGAATCCACCACTTCCCTGGGCAGCCCATTCCAATGCCTGATTACCCTCTCTGTAAAGAATTTCTTCCTGATATCTAAGCTAAACCTCCCCTGGCAGACCATCCCTGGCAGACCATGTGCTTGACTTTGGACTCCTCTCACATGTTACTGTTCATCCAAATTTGGCTTAATATTTTCTTGCATTTACAGCTAAATCTTAAATTTGATCTCTTGTGTCATAGATTCCACATGGGCAAAATTCACACAGAGCTTCATTCTTTTGCAACATTAACGTAGGCAAGCACTAATCAAGGCAGCAAACTAATCTTGATCCTGGGTAGAGTGGTTTTTGTAGATAACTATATTTAGCTCTTGCAGCTCTGGGTTTGGCACAGCACTGTCCTCTTCCCAGCACGATCCTTGGCCGTTTTGTGTTTCCGATGAGGCCCAGCCTTGCGACCCTGGATTCCTATGGAAGCAGGTTGAAGGGAGACTGGGAGCTCAGGGCAAGGCTGCTGCTCCCACCTCTACCCGTCTGCTGGTGCTGCTGTGCTCAGCCGTCACTGTCTGCATGAAGAAATGGCTTTTCCAACTCCAGAGGGTTGCCGTGCTGGGATTGGTGTCCCCCCATACTGGGTAGAATCCTCTCATGTTCATTCACCTTCCCAAATTGAAAGGATTGCTCTGCACTCCTCATCTCTTTTACAGGGAGCCAGTGTTCAGTAGGATTCCTCACGTGCAGTGCTGTCTTCATGTGAAGTGTATTTTCACCTTACCTGAGTTCAAATAGAGAAGCATAGAAGTTAATTTGCTTCTTTGTAGCATTGCTAGTGTTTTAGTAAATTCCCAGGATAAAAGAAGTGAGTAAAAAAACTCTTAAACTGATAAAGAAGAACAACAAACAAACCTAGCACTTTCCGGTGGAATTCTTCTGTTTGTCAGATGTGAGCCTCCTCTTGCACAAAATAATTAGGAGTTGTACTATGTAGAGCATGCTTAGCATCAAAGTAGTCACAAATGCCTCATATTTTCTTCTAAACAGTCTCAAGGGTAGTGAAAGCTGTCAAAAATCAAAGCAGCTGGCATCTCTGTGAAACACAGAAGACCTTTTTACCTTATCAAAAACACAAATATTTAAAATAATCGACAGAGAAGGTAATCAATTTTCATCTGATTTAGCAAAGATCATGCAGTCTCAAAATAACATAAGCATCTCAATTGATACCAACGAGATCAATGTTGATATTTTTAATCCCCTAAAGAAAACAACAGCTGTCAAGAAGGCATATGCACACACTCCACTGAATGTGTAACTGCACAGAAGAAGGTGTGAGCTCCTGTTCTTTAAATGCATTCTCTGTGCTATTTGTATGGAAAAGTTTTAATAAAATCCAAAGCTCAGTGAGAGAATGCAAATAATCATTCAATGAAGAAATCAGGCAGATCCAACCTAGTGAAACAGAGCTGACATGATCTATAATACCTGCAATATTTTTTAGTGGAATGGTATGCAGAACTTGTTGGACCACAAAAAAGGACATGTTTGCATAAATGACTGTAGCTGTCAAGTTTTAACACTCTCTTTCACCTCTGAATATAATATACCCTTGATCACCCCCTGGGTACCCGGCTGCAGATTGACTAGGTCATAGGTAGTGACAAACTCATAAAGAAACTTCTTAATGGCCTTGCCTTTAGAAACAAGGTGAATACCACTACCCTGCCAAATATAAGACTGGGTCTCAGACTGCCTGCCTCAGGTAAAGCTCCAGAAAACCTGCCATTCCTCTGCTTGCTTGGAGTTAGTCAGAGCCTGTACAGCAGTTGTCAAAAGCATATAGCAAGCTGTGATCTCCTTAAATGCCCTAAAGGCTTCTTGTATTTAATACCTGCTTTTCTATCATTCTTTGCCCATCAGTGTAGAGATCTTTATGTTACATATCTATGCATACTTCCTTAGGTACGTATAAACATAGAAATATAAATATACCTTCAGAGAAAACAAAACTTCCAGCAGGGTTAGATGTGTAGATTGGCAAAGCCCTTCACCTAGCTGAAGCCAATGTGAGTTTTGCCATTGATTTTTTTGGAGGACTCAGATTTTAGCTTATTTTCAGTCAAATTGAAGTTTTATGGGTAAATGAAGACGCTTTTGAGAATGACGTTTAAAAGGAAGTACAACTCTGATTTGCATTTCAACAAAATGCAACAAATCAATAGGCTTTTAAAAGTTAAATGATCCTTTAGTAATTTGGAGTGGGATGCTGAAGAAATCTTCTATGGCAGTAGTGAGTGTTAGTTTTGTTCTTGCTCATATCAAACTGTCAGATGTTATTGCTTCCCTTTAATTTGCTATCTGATACCACATTACTAATTTCCTCAAATTAATTAATTCCCATGCTATTAAATGTTAAGCTGTATCTCTTAGTCTCAAAATACAAGCATTGGCACAGGAAAGAAACCTTCAAATATTCTAGCACCACAGAACCATGACCTGTGTGATACTTACCTGTGAATATCTGAATAGTTTCACATCATTCAGGGTTCATTATGAATGTTAATAATGAGTTATTTTTGTATTTGAATCATGTTTGCAGGTTGAGGGTCCATGCATATTCTCTTGACTTCTGATATAAGTCCAATCTAGAATATACCCTTTGTATATGTGTTGGTAAAGATCTCTTCCAATTACTTCCAGTTTTCATTTGAACACTTGAATTTGTCCTCATATTAGCTGGTCAGTCAAGATACATGGGGGGGAGATACTCCAGTCAATAACTAATGTACAGAAAAAGCAACCAAAACCTTCTGTTAATATGATATAAAAACTTTATTCCCTCTTTTTTTAGTGCACTACAGATTTTTCTTTAGAACTCTTGACTTGAGCTGTTTTCCATTAACATTAATAGGTTTGAAATTGTTCTTTGATCTGTTTGTACAGATGCAGAATTGTGTCATGGTGCTCCAACTCTTAATTTAGTTGTACACAGTAATCAAAATTCTTGATAAGATGTGACATTTTAACCACACTTTACAGATCCTTAGAAAACTGGCAGGGGTTGTCAGCATTTTTTCATCTTACATGCTTTTAAGTTGTGTATCATATTGCTAACTAGGGTCACTACCTCCTTATTTTTACTCTCTTGAAGCAAGTAATGTTTTGTTTGATGGAGCAGGGGTTCTTTTTGTCAAAGATGACTATATTACATGCTAAGATGTTTCATCTGTCCTATGTGAAAATTAAGGACCTGTGCTAACATTTATTTTTGGTAAACTGATTCAGAGGATGCCGTGTATCTGGATGACGAGAAAGAAAGGGAAGAATATGTCCTGAATGATGTTGGTATTGTTTTCCATGGAAACGTTGAAGATGTAAAATCAAGAAGCTGGAGTTACGGTCAGGTAAGCTATGTAGACCTTCTCTGGCTGCTCCCAGTAGGACAGCAAGTGAGTTTAATTGACACCAGACAGTGGTTGAGACTGTGGGCTCTGGAGTGCATTATTGGTCTCTACTTCAGAAAGATAAGGGTTATAATTTTAAAATTGTATGAAGTGGGCATATGTCTAATCCAGAAAAACAATACTATTATTGCTGATATTTAAAGACCTTGTTTTAGGGGCTTATTTCAGATACTAAGAGGCTGCCTGTTGAAAGTTATAATCATTAGCTGAGGTTTCCACAGTGCAGCAGTATTTCTGCTGCTGCATTATTGCTGCTTCAGGATCAAATAGATTTGTGAAAAGTAGAGTTGTTTGGGTTTGGCTTTTTTATTTAATTTATTTTTCAACAATAGGTTGTATTGTTTTTTACTTTTCATTTTAGTTTTAGCAGCTTGGTGGAAATAATTTTGATCTTCTTGAAGGTCAGTTAGTTACAGGATTCCTATGACAAACAAGGAACCTCTCCCTTAACTGCCTGAACTTGTCAACATCAGTGTGCAATGGCCTCTTTCAGTCTGGGGGAAACATCCCTTACTAGGCTAGTATGGGGTATTGGTGTGCCTTCAATAGCATAGAATCATAGAACAGTTTGAGTCAGAGAGGATTTTAAAGGTCATCTAGTTCCACTGTGCTGCCACAGACAGGGACACCTTTCACTAGATCAGGTGCTCAGAGTCCTGTCCTACCTGGCCTGGAACATTTCCAGGGATGTGGCAACCACAGCTTCTCTGGGCAACTTGTTCCAGCCTTTTACCACCCTCGTTGTTAGAACTCGCTTCCTGATATCTAATTTAAATCATCCCTCTTTTTGTTCAGAAACAACTACTCCTTGTCTCAGACTTATCTATTTTACCTCAACCTTCTTGTAAGAGCTAACCAGCCTGAAAATCCCTACGGGATGAAAGAATGAAGTTATTGTGTGAGAATGGGAAAAAGACATTACCAAGCAGAATCAAAACAAGAGCAAAGATAACCCTAACTCTCACTCAGAGGGGCTCCAGTGGTCAGATACTGGACATGGTAAACTCTGTTCATCTCACTTCCTGGATTTTCCCAACAGCACAATTAAGAAAGTATTTAAATATTAAGACCTTAATATTCCTTAACACTGTTGTGATGGATCCACTGAGTTTTTCTGGCACCTCCTTAGCACAGCTTTGCAGAAGGGGGCTTACCCCTTGCTTTCTTTCCCTCAGCTAAATACAGTCTCAAAGTTTGAGCTGGATGGATTGCCAGTGTGCTTGCCCTGGAGAGCTCTTTGAACTCACATCTCTCTTGTTTCCTTATTTAAGGGTACAATTTCATCTTTTTTCCTGCGGCAGCACAGCCCTAGGGAGTTCCTGCCTTTGCACCATTCCTTTAGCTGTGTCAGTGCTGTTGTTTGCAGAGTTTGTCTTCCTGACTGAGATAAAAACAACCCTTAAATAAGGAGTGGGAAAGAAGTTCCAGAAGCTGATGGTGCCTCTGTTGTAAGACATGTGGAACCAGACCCTGAGGCCAAAGCTGGGCATGCATTTAAGTTGACCAAAAATGCCCCCTCCTGGCCCTTCCTTCCCCCTGCAAGCACTTGTGCAGCAGTGCAGTGACTCAGACTGGAGAGCTGATCTGGCTGAATAAGCATCTGATTGATTTTTTTTCCCAGGGATATTTCTTGTTCTCTCTCTTCCCCTAGATTTAGGAATCACTCCTTGAAAGACGTAAAGGAGAGGGAGAGAGAGGAATGAGTGGCTGGAGGAGGAAAGTGCTGCTTAAACTGGATACTGGATTTATGTCCTAAGATGCTAAATTTATGGCCTACGGTGGCTTGGCCCAAGGCGCTTATATTCTGCAAATCTGGCACCTTTCTGCTACAAACACTGGCCTCTCTTGAGAAACTGCATTATTTATTTGGTTTTGCTAGGAGGTTAGGGCTGTTCCTCTATCTGGGAGTTTAGGGCTGTTCCATAGTCCTTTGTCATATATTTTCATTCCTGGCTGAAATTAGAGGACCTGATTTTCAGCCTGTGCTGTGGTGCACCTTTTGCTATTGCTTGCCCATGTGAAAGCTGAGTGTGGCAGATGCATCTCAGCGAGCCCAAGCCAAGAGCTTCAATTAGATCATTTTGTATGGGTGTAACAGACATCAATCTGCAAAGCAACTGAGAAATATTCTTCTGGTCACCTTACTTTCAGTGAAATGAAGATCACGATGTTCCCAATCTTACCCTGCAGATTTCCAGCCATTAAAACCACGCCTCTCCCTCATTTTTGGCAATCCTAGATGTTAAGAGTAAGAACATTGCTGGGAGTGAGTAAAAGTACTAGCAGCAAGGCTTGTATTATGGATATATTGTGCAAGTATGCTTTTTATATTTGTGATATATAGCCCTTTACATGCAAGTAAAATGCATAAGACCACATTAAGGTGAAAGGTATACGGTCATATATAAAAATACAGATAAGACTTGTGCATGGTAATGGTCTTAGACTAAAAAATTGCTTTGAACAATGACAGCTGGAAGCTTTAACTCAGCTTGTAAATTAAAAAGGAACATACAGTTCAAAACTGGGTTACTAGTGGGAGATGATTCTCACAGCTGCTTTCTGCAATGAGCAGCATCAACATGAAAGGAGGAAAGAGAAGAAAAATGGACCAAGGAAGAAAAAACAACAGAACAGTTGGAATACGGCTGTAATGAATGAGCATGGAGGTGTTCCTTGTAACATGGTTGTGATCCCTTCTAAGAAACTGTAAATAGCCAGTCACTCAGAAAATTCTACAGAGGATTCAGGGGAAATATGGCTTTGGAAGAAATCTAGACACATAGGAATTCTCTTGCTGAAAAACTTCAGAAGTTGGATTGCTGTGCTGATCATTTAATGTTGATATATTTTTTGTGTGTGTGTGCAAAGAATAACATAAAGCAGGTGGCATAGAGTTCTGTTTCTGTTGTGACTTCTCTCATGTTCACACATTGATCTGCTTTAGCTTTGAAACCCACTGTGCCAATGTAATTCTATGGCACATGCATTTGTCCAGGTCAGACCACAAGCAACATGAGATCATATCTGCCTGCAACTGATTATGAGAAACACAGCCCTAAATCAACTAGTGCAGAAGGTGATACAGCCCCTCTTACTTTGATTTAGATGGAAGGTCATCTATTAGATTAGCATGAAGGAGGCCAGCACGACTAAGTGTATTGCTCTGTAACATAAGGCACTTCTGTGTGAAGACAGAATCCCTTTGCTTGTGTGTTTTCTCATGCCTTGTTGTCCATCGGCAGTCTTTCCCAAGTGGCTCTGCCAAAGTTCTTTGGTTCTGACACTGACTTATTTTCATTCCAGCTTGTGTGGCCCAGCTTCACTCCCGTCTTGTCTTCCTGCTGCTGCTCTGGTTCCTCTGACATTTCAGAGGTGTTCAGCCTTACAACTCCTATATTTCTATTCCGCTCCCCTCTAGATAGCACTTTCATGCTAAGAGTGAGAGCAGGAAACTGATTTAGTTTGATTTAATGTTTTTAAATCCCTGAATAGTCAAAAAGGGCAAAACTGGCTTTAGTGTTAAGGCTACTCTGCATCCTAAGCTACTGCAACAGTGTAAAAGGCAACTGGACTTTGCAGCTTTTCCTCTTTCTTCTGTTATCCAGTTATTTCACAAGTATTCATGCTGTTTTGTAAATGCTAAGGTGGAAGGCAGCAACCCTGTAGCAATTTATTTCCTCTTTATTCTTTCTGTATATGCTGGCAAGATTGACAGTGTCTCATAAACTCTACATGAGAAAGGTTTAATTTGCAGGGTAAACTTCTTATTGATTTAACTCAGGTCTGATGACTTGAAGTGCAGAAAGTAGATTTTGGTCCTGGTAAAAGTGATAAATCATTGGGCCAGACCTGAAGAAAAGTGAGCTTGAAGCAGGAAAAATGGTTATGAGGGTCCTGAGTTTACATTATCTGTTGTTCCCTTAGGAAGGAGGGTCTCCAAAGCATGATCATTCAACCAAGATTATTTACATCACATCCAGTGGAGTGGACTGGAAAGTCTACCATGCAATTATTCAGTTTCCCAGTAATGATTAGGAGTAGATCTCTGAGAAACACTATTTCCTCTTCCCCTATTCCCAAACACCAAGAATTCAGTTTTGCTTAGACTTTATAGTCACTAGTGAATGCCTGCTTCAGAGAAAGAATGCCTGCTTCAACGCCAGTGTGGGCGATGATGTGACAGATGTGCTGCCTTGAGGGACATTTGCTGAAAATGATCCATATAGCAGTGGTTCCTTGAGCAATAAGACCCAGGTAGGCTCAAGGCAGAGGCAAAGAAAAGCACTTCCTTTGGCCAGGAAATGGCTGAAGGTGGTGAAACACGATGGTGCTTTCTCTTTCTTGGCTTATGCCAGAGTTCAGCTCCTGCCTGGAATGTCACCACTGTCCCTTCCATCTTCCCTGCAGTATCAGCAGTCTTTATTCCTTAGAGCTTCCTTTTCAGCTGTCTGACCTCACTCTTTGTTCTCCTCTGCCTTTCCCCAGGCTGCTAAAGTAGCAGCTTGGTCTGGTCTCTTGCTCACTTTTTTCAGGAGGCAAAACTCGGATCGGCTTCATCTGCCAAGGAGCCCTAAGCCAGGCAGGAGACAGTTACAAAATCTGTCCAGCTCTAGTAGTATCATGAGAGCAAAAATCGTATTAGTATGAATCATATCTTTCAGGAAGCAAGCATAGAATATAAAATCTAACATGGCAAGAGGACAAGCTCCATGGAGTTCCTGTCACAGCCTTGAATGTTAATATAAGTCTGTGTATCTAGAAGATAGTTGTTTTATTAATGTGCATTTCCCTGTATCCTACTATTTACCAGGGGACAAAGGTATTTTCCTTGGCTATGCAGTTTCTTCCAAGGAAAATGATATACAGTGCAGGGCAAGTCCTGTGACAAATGGTTTCTGGTCTATTTAGGCACCTCTGCCCTCAATTCATTCTTGTGCTTGTTCATGCTGGATTGAAAAAACCTCTACCTTTTCACTCTATTTTTGAAGAAGACTACTTTAGGTCACTTGCTGGTTTTGATGACTAAGTTTTGTAGATCAGGATTAATCTATATTATCAGATTTTACCTTGTCAATTTTAAACAGATTTTAAAAATAACTTTAAAATGTGTCTTCCAAATAACACTAGCAAACCACTTATTGTTCAACTTCTCAGCAATGCACTGGCTGTGTCAGAGAAGTCCTGAAATTAACAGGTCTGGAATCTGTGAAGGACTTGAAGTCCTTCACAAGTAGACTAGCTTCTTGTAGTTATTATTATAATATCCTCCTATTATATACTTGTTAGCACTTAAAATTTTATGTCCTGTCAGAAAGACTGTGTTGTCATTTCAACCTTCTGGAAACTGGACTGAGATTGAATTGAAAATTACACTTCACTTACAGCCTCTCACTTTTTTTTTTTTTTTCTCTACACATGGGCAATTATTCCAGAAGAAAACTTCTATTGTTAAACACAGAACTTCGACTTGATAAGTTAATTTTGAAGCTGATTAGCTATTACAACAACAGGGGGAAATAGCCTTGCCTGTGCTTTCCAGAATTTTACCTCTGTTTCCCATTTTATTTTATTTTATCTAGTTTGAAGAAAACATTCTGGATGCTTGCCTGTTCCTGATGGATAAGGCAGAACTGGAGCTCTCTGGGCGTGGAAACCCAATCAAAATCTGCCGTGTTGCCTCCGCAGTGGTATGTAATAAATGCTTAATATATGTCAGAAGTGACTCATAAATCAAAGCCAGTCTGATTTAACTGGCCCTCATGCCCTGATGTGCTCACTCCAACGTAGAGCAGATCAGTTGTCCATTCTGGCAATTGTCCATTCCCCAGTCTGGCATTTTATTTTGCTCCACTAAAGTTGAAGCAACTTATGTTGGTGCATCGCCTTTCCCTGAGAATGGTGCCTCAGTGTGGGAAAGCCACTTTTAGACCTTGCACTCCAGGCCCAAGTATTCCTTGTAACACTGTGCTTATTTTCCAGTAGCTGATATAACTGAGAAAGCTATTTCTGCTATGGAAAATAAGGTGGCCTGATGGCCGGAATTTTGAATGGAGAATTGTGAGGCTTTATGTGGACTCCAGTGCTAACCTCAATAGGGTCTTTCAACACTGCAGGGGTGGGTGTTGCTGTGTCTGATTTAAGCCCCAAGTGACCTAATCAGGCTGAGAACAAACATATATGTGTGCTACTTTGGCCCCAGAAGAAAACACTGTGAGAACTGTCCTCTTAAACATGGGGTCCACAAAACATGCCACATTCAGAACAGAAGTACCTGAAATAATCAAGCAGATGACAGAAGACTTTCCAAAACTCCATTCTTTCCAGTTGCTAGAAATCATGCTGTGGGTGCAAGAACAGTCCTATCCCTAATATTCAAGATGCTAGGCTCATCCAGACTGTGGAAGACAAAAGGCTGAGTCCTCTCCTTTGTCTTATTCGAGGTCGGAACTGATGCTTTCTGCTTCCCAGAATAATACTCTAGTCATTGAGCTAGTTAATTAGATGTTCTCTCAAGCCATCTACTAAAATAGACTGTCCACAAAACATGGTTGCTGGAGATAGATGATCCTTTAACTCATTTGTTATAGCATTTGTGCAGGCTTAAAGAAAATGAGCTCTTTGTCTTTTATGACATTGAAGGGGGATCTCGATCTTGCACAGCATCATGTTAAATACAATAGCTTCATCAAAAAGTATTGAGAACACCTCCACTACTCTTTCTCTTTTAACATTTTAGTTAGTTATTTCACCCCAGACACTAGAAATATGGTTTCAGACCTCCGGATAGAGGTAAGAATTGAATGAGGTGCCCTCATCTCTGGGCTAGTAGATGTAAAAGGTCCCTCATGTAGGGACCGTGGAGGCACTCAGGACAGAATAGCACAGAGTTTAGGAACCCAAAGAGGGCTTGGATATTACTTAAGTTTTGAGCCACTCAGTCATTTTAGAGAGGTAGAGAAGTTCACTATTGGAAGTCCAGGAGCCTATGTACTTTAGGTCTATACTGCAGAATTAGGCCATAGCTGGGTAGGCAGTTTGGTCATCTGGAATCTGGACTTGAGTAAGAAGCTGTCAAGAATTGCTGAAGTTCAACCTGTGTTCCTTACCCTCATTCTTGCTCAAGTTGAAATGTGGTAGAGCTGATCTAGTCTGAGGACATTCTACCATGCTGGATTCCTTCTGAGGTTTCCTGGTGTTGCAAAGCAGGTAGAGCCCTTCTCTTCTTCCATCCTTTACAGCCAGAGGAGAGCCAGAAGATCAACATGTTGTCCTGTCCTTCAAGACTTCTTTTCTTGGCATGTTTCCCACGCCAGTGAGATGGGCACAACCTCTTAATCCTTTGGTTATGACTCTGAATACTTATTTTTTTTCAGTCCTAGAGTTCATAGGAAGTCGATTTTCTAATTATAAAATAGTAGTTAATGCAGCCAAAAGCTTTCAAATGAGAATTGTGATTTATTTGGCTGGTGTAGCTGTTCTGCATTTGCATAATTAAAAGGTACAGAGCGAATGAGCTTTTTGCACAGCCTCAACTGGTTTGGTTCAAATTGCAGCTAGGAGATGTATTGCTCATTAATGCCTATCAGTATAGCCATTAGTCAGCAAAACTCTCTGCTTTGTATAATCTTACCAGAGGAAAACTTACACAGCAAATTCCTTCTTGTTTTCGTGTGTGCTGGACCAAAAAATATAGTTTCTACTGTAAAAATAACAGTGAACTGCTTTTCCTCTCAATCTGCTGTAAATCAGGGATGATTTTATTAAAATCTGGACTGATATGGACAGAAAACTAAATGATGTTAGGAAAGAATACAGCTTAATATTTCTGAGGCTTGCTTATCAGTGTAAAACTGATTGCATTTATTTAAAATACATCAGTAAGCATGTTTCATGTTAATAAAACTTACTAAACAGGTAACATGATACTCAGTGTGGTGATTTAATTTCAGCATTCTTTTTAAGTGTCTGACCTTCATTCAAAATTGTTCAGTGATGGAGAATCCATGGTCTTTAGCTAGAATATTTCATTTATCCCCTACCTTCATAATGAAATGTTATTATCTTACTTCTCGCATAAACTGGCTACATTCAGTCTCTCCCATCTTATCTGTCTGCTGAGTTAAGGAGCTTTTTATTATTCAGTCTCTGACATCCTTAACACTCATGTTCTTTGACTTTAGATCAACTCCAGGGACGATAATGGTGTGATTGCCGGATCCTGGAACAATTCATATGATTATGGTGTTGCCCCTTCAGCCTGGACAGGAAGTGTGGACATTCTCTTGGAGTATTACAGTTCTAAGCAACCTGTGAGATACGGCCAGTGCTGGGTCTTTGCTGGTGTCTTCAACACATGTAGGTATCAGTGAGAAAACCTCCATGCTGCCATGCAATTCTTGCTTAACAGAGTTCTTAGATAAAATGAACTAAAATATTTCCTGGCTCTGTGTTCTTCAGGAGTAAATAGTACAGAGGCTTAAAAATACATGGCTAAAATAGATGGTCTTCAAATAAAACTTTGGTGTGTACTTCAGCTGCTCTTCCACACAAACTTCTGTTAACTATTTCTGGCTTCAGTAAAATGTGTTCAGTGGCTCACGAGGGTTTGTGAGAGAGGAAGTTAAGTCTTTTGGCATGGTCCACATTTGTGTCAGGAAATCTTAAATGAACAGGGTGCTTGTCATCTGGACCTAAAACATTAAATTACTATCCAGTATGGGATGTGCAATCATGTTTCTGCTGCAGAAAGGCCAAATCTCACCTACTGAGGATTGTTCCTATAAAAATTGAGGTGAACTGTCCCTGCACCTGTCTACTGAGCACTGTTAACATTTTCTACAGAGTTTGTGATCCAGAAGAATGAAGAAAATGCTGGCCTAGTTTATGAATTGCCTAGCACTACAAGGTTATGTCTAAACACAGTTGATCAAATTAGAGTTCTAGAGTTACTGCATAGTGTTGCAGGTCATAAAACCCAGTTAGGAAAGCAGCATTGGATTAGTTACTATCTAGCACTTTCTAACGACATCATCTGCTAATACACAGGAACACACTGAAGTGTATTAGCAGTCAGTAAAGACTCTCAGAGTGTATCAAATGTGCTTTATACAGATAATAGGGACCAGACATTAAAAGCAAGCTTATGTCCAGCATATGTCAGTATACAGCCAGTTAAGCCATTCCTATGCCTATGGCACTGGCCAACAGAAGCAGCTTAACAGGGACTAAATTAAATGTCTTAAGCTGAGATGCTCTTCCTGAGAAGCACTTACAACATATGCATTTAAGTGTCAGACTGTGGGGAAGACCAGATCAGCGTGTTGCAGGGACACACAGTGTGTATTTCTTCAGGCTTGGAGCCCGCTTTGCATCAAGTACTTTTCAGCCACAGCTGAAGGTCCAAGATTTGGTCCTTCTCTTTAAGATGTGAAAAGGAAATTACAGAAAATTTCACAGTGAAACCTTTCTCAAGGAATCGCATTATACTTCTCTTCACATTATACTTTCATAAAAAATGAAGGCTATTAATCACCCATCTTCCACAGGAAATATGAAAATTGAATAATGAATGATAAGTTGAAAGAGTGGTTCTTCACCCCCAGGCAGCTTTGGGCATCTCTGTGTTTTCACTTTATTTTTGCCTGTTCTGTATGTGTTTCATTTTGTACATAATTTTCCTCCTCTCTGGATAACGGACTTTCATAACTCATTCTGGTTACCTGAGGTAGTTCAAAAACTATTCAAAAGAGTAAGGACCTCAGATATAAAGCTGTATTCTGACCATCTAGGCTTCTGCTGGCACACGCTTCTCACAGCTGCAGTGGGGGATGGAGTTTCAGATTTCTCTGCTTCTCATAGAATCATAGAATGGTCTGGGTTGGAAGGGACCTTAAAGATCATCTAGTTCCAACTCCCCTGCTGTTAGCAGGGACACCTTCCACTAGATCAGGTTGCTCAAAGCCCCATCCATCCTAGGCTTGAACACTTTCAGGGATGAGGCATCTGCAGCTTCCCTGGGCAACATGTTCCAGTGCCTCACCACTCTCACAGTGAAGAGTTTCATTCTAATATCCAATCTAAACCCAACCTATCTCAGTTTAAAGCCATTCCCCCTTGTCCTATCACTACATGGTCTTGTAAAAAGTTCCTCTCCAGCTCTCTTGCAACCCTCCCTTTGGGTGCTATAAGGTCTCCCCAGAGCCTTCTCTTCTCCAGGAAGAACAGCCCAACTCTCTCAGTCTTGTCTTCATAGGATAGGTACTCCAGCCCTCTGATCATCTTCATGGCCCTGCTCTGGACTTACTTCACCAGGTCCATGTCCTTCTTATGTTGGGGACCTCAGAGCTGGATTCAGTACTCTGGTTCAAATGGGTTCAAAAAGGCTCATGCAAGTGTTCCCTATGGAGGAATTCCTCACAGTGGCTTCCATGGCCTACTTTGACTTCTCTGCCTGTTGCCTTATCTGGATTTCTCTAGGCACACACACACACCAGTTCTCCCACCTTCCCCCTGCACTGGCCCTGAATCACCACTACGCAATATTTTGCCTGCAGGCCACTGCGAAACTGGGGCGATGCAGCAGAGGCCTGGAGCCTGCTGTGTTAAATGGAGAGGCGTATTTATCTGGGGCAAAACTAGACTTGGTTTGCTGACTAAGTTAGTCAAGTCAGAGACCTGGCACTTTGTACTGCTGCAAGGATTGCTGAAGTACAAAGTTTGTTGAGTGTTATGAAACGGAAATGTTGTCCAGTGGCTGATCTGATGATAGCCACTGATATATCCAGCTGTGGATCACTACAGAGAGGACAGCAAAGGTCTGAACAGTCATGTGCAACTAACAGTGTTGTTTTGAGGTGATTTTGAGTCTCTCTCAGCTGCCAATCTTTTATCATTGTGACCAGTCCAGCTTTCCAAGGTTACTGTAATGTACACTCTGGATATTCATCTGTTAAAAATGCTAAAACATTTGAGAAACGGTCATTAATCTTGAAATTGTCAGACAAATTATTTGCAATGAGCCGTGATGGCTCATGCGCTGGAAGCCTTGGAGGGCACTTGAATTAAGTTTAATCAATAGGTACATATGGTATTGGATGCATCCAGGTAATTTGTCATCCAGGAACTTGAAACGAATGTGCAGTGTTACACTTTATTGGGAGTCAGAGTAGTGACACTAATGAATATACAAAACCCAGCAGTAGCAGGAAGAGCTGTTCAACACTGCCGCATTGGAACTATTTTTAAATAGGATTTTCAATAAAAATCTTTCCCCTTTAAAAAAAAAAAACCAAAAAACAAAAAACCAAAAAAAAACCAAACAAACAAACAAACACCCTCTGTTTTCTGCAGAACCATGTTGGCTCCTAACTTGGAAAAAAAAAGAACTTTTTTTGGCTGAGAAACAAAATATGTCATCTGGAGAAGTTGAGATGATGTGTCACCCTGCAACCCCTCTTCCCTCTCAGGACTGTGCTCCATGCTTATTTATCAGCCAGGGTGCACACAGGCACAGAGATCTACTGATGCACTACTGCAACTACAGATATTGCTCTAGTATTACCACATTTCCCAAATCTACCACTTGTCAAATGGTGAGAAGAGTCACCAGCATTACATTGTGATGGTCTGAAATTCAGGGCCAGGGGCTTTTTTTTTGTCCTCCTTTTAAGGTCTTTTGTGGGAAGGGACTATTGACTCTCAAATACTATTACTTAGTATTCAATACAAATTATGTAATGCATTTTATTTGGACTCTCAAACTCTGACATTTCAGTTGCAAATAATGCAGCTTCTTACCATTGTTAGCAATAATTTTCTGCTTTATTCTTTGTGTTCTCCTGATCCCTCCTGACAGCAGATGTAACACAGGAAAACTCCAAATCAACCAAAAGGAGATACTTTCTATTAATTTTCTTTTTAGCATAATCTCCTGGTTCTCCTAAGTTACCCATACTAAGAGACCTAACATATTTTGCATTTCTTGCAAGTTTAAACTTGTTTTTTCTTTGTACTACATTTGGTCATGCAGTTGACCCATTGCACCAGATTTGCCCTGAAAGGCTGCAGTGTGGTTGCTATGGAAGGCTGCTTTAAAACTATTAGTAATTAGCTGCTTAGGTTATAACCATTGTACCGCTGCGTACCCCGGATACTCATAATTTCAGGACCAAAAAAAATATTTACCATGTACTATGTAAAGACAGATAGGAGGAATTATTTGGGTTGTTTTAACCAAGTTTCCCCATTTTATTCTAGCTATTAGTAGTTTCTGTCCTCTCTTCCTGTCATCCATGAACATAGTCTTCATATTTGTCCTCCTCATCACATTTTTGGTTTTGCCACAGTCCTGAGATGCTTGGGGATACCTGCAAGACTCATCACCAACTACTCTTCTGCCCATGATAACAATGCCAATTTACGGTTGGACTTCTTTCTGGATGATGAAGGAAAAGTGGACACCAGACTTACAAAAGACTCTGTCTGGTGAGTCTTCCTGGAAAATGCCTTTAATATGTCAGTGATATAAGTAGTAAAAAGCATGACAGCAATGCCTATGTTTTATTTATTTCTCTGTGCATCTCTGCTAGCTTATGTGAAAGAGAATGAATGGATTGTTAGTAGACTGACTAATATGAAGTGCTTATTGAGTAAACAAACCCTAAGGGATCCTGCTAGTACTGTTATCATACAGTGTCCATTTAAGCACACGGGAGGAGGGCTGGAATGGGCTGGTGCTCCTTAGGGCCAAGCCGTTTCTAAAAGTGGAAAGGGGTACGATGGGCACTTCCATCCTTCTGGAGCCAGGCTCAAAGGTGTACCTCAATCTATATGGAAAAACATCCCTCCTGTTTTGCCTATTCTCAGTTTCCACATTTATAGACTGGTTTTACATTGTGTACATGCAGTCATTGTTGCATAGGTACCTTCCAAAATCTAGTTCAGCTGAAAAAATGAAACAAGTCAAGGTATCACACAAGATACTGAAATTCTATCACCAGATTTATAAGAAGAAAACTCTCTAAGACCAATAAATAGAGTTCACACATTCCTTTGGAGAAGGCAGTCCTCTAACTGGCTCTTCAAATTCTTACTGTCTGTTGTCTGACAGGAGAAGTGTAGCATTTATTGATTATATGCTCTGTGTGGGTTATTGGCCTTCAAGCCCCTCCTCCTCAGAGTGAAACAGTGAATATGACCTCTATATTCCTATATTCAGGAGATAATCGTCCAGTTCAGTGTTAATATACTTGATTTGTGTCAGTGATATCTTCAATCATTAGGACAGCTGCTCATCAGCATGTTTCATTAATAACTTAGTCTATGGCAGTCTTTATATAAGAACTGTAATAAACCCATTATGTGGTGGAGGAAACTGAACTGAACCTGTTGTTGTAACCTCCTTTATGTGATTTCCATAATCAAGAAGAAATCTAAGGAAAACAATTAGGTTAATTTATATCTGAAGCTTGTATCACAGCATCATAGAGTAGTTGATACTTGAAGGGACCCATGAAAGTCATCCAATCCTCCTGCTCACGGCAGGGTTACCTAGAGCTGGTTGCTCAGGGCCATATCCTGTTGAGCTTTGAGTATCTCCAAAGACGGATACTCCACAACTTCTCTGGGAAACTCATGCCAGGGCTCAACTATTCTCACAGTAATGAAATGTTTTCTGAGCTTCAGACAGAATTTTCTGTGTTTCAGTATGTGCCTGTTGCTTCTTGTCCTGTCACTGGGCTACTGAGAAGAGTCTGGCTCTGTCTTCTTTCCCTCAACTCTCTAACCCGGCATTTATACACATGGATAAGGTCCTACTGAGCCTTCCCATCTTCAGACTGAACAGTCCCAGCTGCCTTAGCTTCTCCTTGTGTGCAGTCTCTGTTGTATCAGCTATTCCTTCCAGTTTTCTATATCAGCAAACTTGCTGAGGGTGCAAGTGGTTCTTGTAATCCAAGTCATTATGAAGCTGTTAAATAGTATTGGACCCTGTGTCAACCTCTGGGGTACACCACTAATCACAACTTTGTGATCCCAGCAGTTCAGCCAGTTTTCAATATATCTTACTGTCCAATTGTCTAGTCTATAGTTCAGTGGTTGGTCTATGAGGATGTTCTAGGAGATGGTGCTAAAGTCAATAGGACCAATCTCATGCACTCTTCTCCTCTTGTCCTTTCAGTCATTCATTTCATTGGTGAAGATTATCAGATTTGTCAGGCACAGCTGGCTGCTTGTAAATCCATGCTGACTACTGCCAGTCACCTAGTCCTTAATATGTTTGGAAATGTTTGCAGAACTTGCTCTATAACCTTCCCAGGGCTCAAGGTGAGGCTCACAAGTCTGCAGCTCACTGGATACTCCTTCTTCCCTTTCTTGAAGAATGGAGTGATGTTTGTTTCCTTTAGTCCTCAGGAGCCTCCTCCAATTGCAGTGATCTTTCAGAGATAGATATGAGCTGTCTTACAGTGACACTGGCCTGGTCCCTCAGCATTTTTGGGTCCCTTCCATCAGATGCATTGGACTTGTGTGTATCCAGTGCATTTAGCTAGTTCTAACTTGTTACTCATCTACAGATGGTAAGTTTTCGTTGCTCCAAACTTTCACACTGGTTGTAGGGGCTGCGACTGCTGAAGGTAAATCTTGGCAGTAAAAAACAAGGTAAAGAAGACATTGAATACTTTGGTCTTCTCTTATTCCTTTGTCACCAAGTCACCTGCCCTTTTCAGCAGCAGTCCCGCATTTTCTATAGTCTCCCTTTGTATACTGATGTACTCGTCTCTCTTACTGCTGCTCACGTTCCTTGACATACTCTGTTTGATCTGTGTTTTGGCTTTCCTAAACCTGTCCCTGCATGCTCAGACAGTGACATTCCTTCTGGTCACTTGTCCCTGCTTCCCCCTCTTTCTTAGCACCTTTTTTAAAAATGTTTAACTGGGACCACTTTGTGGACTTGTACCACTTTTGGTTGATTTCCTGTGCACATGGATGGATGATTCCTAAGCTTGGATGAGGTGACCCTTGAAAAACAACCATCTCTCCTGGATCCATCTTCTACCCAGAACTGCCTCCCATGCGACTCTTTCAAGCAAGACTTTAAACAGGTCTTAGCCTATTCTCCTGAAATCCAGAGCTGTGGTCCTGCTATTTGCCTCATTTCCTCTTGTTAGGATCCTTTACATCTGGTCTATGAGATAGCAGGACCTCAGTACATGTCATGGGGCTGGTCCTCCTCTAGCTCAGAGAGTTGTAAAGGAACAGTCTTCTGAAACCTTCTCTGCCTATAAATGATGTGAAAAAAGACCTAGTGACTGGCTGCCTCACTGCTCAGTCCATACACACCCAGTAATGGATCGCTGCTATGTTTCAGAGTTTTCACTGTCTCATCTCTTTTTCTTTCCTTCTCCTAGCCTGGTCTATGTAACACCTCTCACTTCACTTTTGACATTTCCTTTTGCTTCCTTTCATCTCTTTTTCCCAGTTGTTTCCTAAGACTTCTTAATTCCATCCTGGTTTTTTTCCATTCTTTTGGGACAGGGTCAGATCATCCACAATCATCCTAGCTCCACTGAAATCCATACACACCTTTACACTAGCATTTCATCCTCTCATCCCACATTTGCTTTTATTTGGCTTGAATACTTTTTGAACCACCTTGTTCATCCTTTTATCCACCCGGTGCATTTATTAGTACATGGTGCACATAACCCTTTGGGCATGACTTAATATATATACCTCTTTTCATTTCTCCTCCGTGTCCTTTCTTTTCATTACTCTGTTACACTCCATGGTAGCTCACATGCTGACTTTTATCGGCTTGTGTCTTAACCTTGATTTTATTTTTAATGTGTATTTTATTTCTTTTTTTTTTTTTTTTTAAGAGGACAAGCTCAAGTTGTTTATAATGTTGGGGATTTTTTTAATGCATTTCTCAGTTTTATTTATAATTTCCTGAAAACTGGAAGAAAAGCACTTTTTCTCTATTAATATATCATTTCTATTGTACTTGTACTCCAGCCTTGTACTTCTGAAGCTGATCTATCTTCAGGTTTTAAATACTCTCAGACTTCAGGGATATTTGGAGCCAGAATTTTTAGTTCAATCAATCTCAGTGTGGGGCTCCCTCTGAATGTTATTTGACATTTATTTATTTTTATTAAAGATCATCTTCTCCCTCAGGATAGGAAACAACACCACCAACAACAAAACACATACACAAAATTACACAGACTTTGCAAAAATTATTTTTATAAAGTTGGCCGGATTTGGGCCCATCAGTGCTGTCTCTGTCCCCTTACTTTGTTCTCCTTGTCTTTCTTAATGATGATATAAAGACACTTATAGAATATTTCTCTTGGATTGGAATCAAGACTCACTCCTACCTTGAGGTCCAAGCAGATCGACATCAGTACCTCAACAGAAACCTGTCTGATGTCATCCCACACCATGGGGGTTCACCCATACCCAAGCCTGTGGAGAAAGCCTTTCTGAGACCTCTGCTTTCCCATTCACTTCCAGATCCCTTTGCTCTAATTTCCCAACAATGTTATCAGTGCCCCTCTTGACCTTAATGCCTGAACCTGTTAGCTAATAAAAGGACAGCAGCTGTTTCCAGCATGTGCCTGTCCCATAAACAGTACAAACTGCCCTTCTTGAACTGTCTTCCAGGCATAAAACCCACCTGGTCATCTTTTATTAATTTCCCCATTGCTTTGTTTAGTCTATTCGTAATTATCTCTGTAAATATTTAATGGTCACTACATTGATCTGTATTGCCATTCTTGCTTTCCTTAATGTCTCAAGCTTGCTGTAGAATACAAGAATTATGGAATCAGTTTAACAAATTATGGTTGTGGAGCCACCTCTTCAGCTATGGTCCCTTCTAAAAAAGAAGTGCTACATTTTGGAGAGGCAAATGTTCCCCTCACCCCTTCTCTCCTTAATGTTCACTGTTTTACAAACAATGTCTTTCTGTCCATTCACATTCGATATCCTAAAGTTTATTTGTTATTTGCATGGCAGCAGACCTAAAGAAATTCCCATCCTGTTGTGTCCAACACTATACCAACAGAAACGAGAAAGAAAGGTTCTATCCCTAAGATGAATATAAAAAAAAAAATACAGAAAAAGCTGCATTGCCTAATTACAGAATTGAATTAGATCTGCCATTTTCCATGTTGTTAAACCCAACCCTTTGCTTTTATCATCCTTCCCTTTTGCTCTTCAGGTTCTTCTTTTGGAGAACACAAAGCCAAAGACACATCTGACTTTGATTCAAAGTAAACCAGTAAAGGCTTCAGGGCGGGGATTGGCTTTCTCACATGTTGGCATAGCAATATTCAAATACTCACCTACCATGAAGTGCCATCCCATCCTCTGGTAGCCCTCAGCAAAGCTCTGTGAGCATGATTCAGCATTGCATACTCTCAGCAGCATCAAAAATTCTCTGCATGTGTGTCATTTTCCTTGAATAATTCCTTTTTCTGTAGTGCTGCTTCATTAACTCTCCTAACTGACAAGTTTTACCCTGATCCAAGCTTTCATTTCCACTTTGAAATGTCTTGTTAGACAAGTCTCATATCCTTCTCACTCTGCTCCATGGCTGGTTTTCACCTATTATTAATGACATGGTCAGAGTTTAACAATCCCCATTTTGGTTGCTAATATCATTGCGTGTACTAGGGGCTATATCAGCAGCTATACAGATGTAATTTTATTCAGAACTGCTGTAGGATATATATAATTTGCAAGCAAAGTTGCCCCTTTCTCTATTCCTTCCTTCTTTTATTTTTTTTGCAGTAATAAAATTCAAAACCTTTCCTGGCTTTACTGCAAGACCTTTTTTTCTAGATTATCTGTTCTTCTTGCTTGTTTTCTCCCTTGAGCACCAGTGCCATTGCAGAAAGTTACAAGATCTGCCTTTCTTTTCTGCTCATCTTCGAAGCATCCTGGGTAGACTGTGATGGTTCTGTGGTGCTTTTTTTTTTCTTTTCCTGAGCACCCAGCCCAGTGACTGCATTTCAAGCCTGAGCACCTAGATGAACTACTCTCAGAATTTCACCTTTCAGCATACTGTTCTGGGCCCTAAAGGCAAGACTTGGCCCACAGTGGTTCTAAGTGGGTTTTATGAAAAGCTGTGTGTTTTAGGACAATGCCCTCATTGTCAAGACACACCAGGAAAACTTTGTAAGGAATACACAGTGAGAATAGTCTTAGAAAGGCTATGCAGGGTCTTTTTCTCAACCAACACGGAACAGCTAAGCATGTTTGTTTTGAGCCATGAAAACTGCTCACTGCATGTCATGGAGTTGAACCTGAAATCTCTTCAGAAGAGCCACCCAAGTTTCTGTCTTAATAATTATAAAGCAGACTATGCTTCACTGGCTTGAAGATTCAAAGTTTGCAGGCAGATTGAAGTGGAGGTGTCTGGCTGGAAAGGGATTCTGGTTTGTGTAGCTCTACATCTACCACAACAGTCTCCAAACACTGGCATATTTTCTGAGATGTTTACATTCAGAACATATTAGAAGAATCAAAAAAGCTTCTTCAATTTGCAGTCAAGAAACTACAATGAAGGATTGTGAATTTCAGATTTTTACCAATAGGTAACAATCTCTTAGACCTGAAAACCTGTTCTCTTACAAGAGTCAACTGTTTTATACTTGAATTGGCAAACTTTGTTACTGAAGAAATGGCAGGGCATAAATACACAGGTTTGTTTTGGTCTGTATGCTTCTGTCCAAGAATTTAATATTTTGGTCCCATCTCTTACTAAGGAATTATCATTGCTGGAATGAAGCTTGGATGACCAGACCTGATCTTCCAGTTGGTTTTGGAGGATGGCAGGTTGTTGATGGGACACCTCAAGAAACCAGTGATGGTAATATTGCTTGAAGTCCTCCTTATAGCTTACTTTCTTATGTTTGGGTTCTTTGTGGCAAACAATGAGCTGATGATAGCTGAGCCAGTGGCCTATATGGCCAGTGACAACATCTTGAACCAGATTAACCACAGTCACCTGTGCTCAGAGCCTTCTACTGATTTGTTTTGACTTCTAAAATAAATCTGTCCTTATTCTAACACTGGTCATGATGCATGGGCACAAAATCATGCATGAGAAAGGCCCTGTTTGCTACAGAAGAGATGTAATCCTGTTGCCAAAGATGGCTTCTAAAATTTTAGAGCATCTATACAAGATCCTGATCAAATAAGTTCTCCTTCATTTTATGCAACCCTAGCTAAACTTCCTGAGCAGACAGTAGGCAGGGAAAAAAAAGTGAAAAGTCACTGCAATTTCTTCCCAGTCCTTAATTTTCCAGACCTTAAAATACACGCTTCGCAAATTTGCAGTGAGATCTTTCTCAGCCTGTGGTGTAACTGAGTCCTCCCAAAATTATCTGCTTTAACCAAAATCAGATATAAGTTTGTTTCAAGCACTTGAGACTTACAGTGGATTTTATGGTGCCATTAAACATACTGAACCCTCAGATTGTTCCAGACTTGAGTCTGTGCTGTCTAGAGGGCTGGTAACAGAAATAAAGCTTCTTGTTTCTTGGTCAGAGTTCCTGTAAACCATTAAAAGAGTAAGCCAAACCCCAAGAATTCCTTTTCTTTCAGAAAATATAGCATTTTGACATGTTTTAACTAATTTAGTATCTGATATTATCTCTTTTCTCCCCATAGGTATGTACAGGTGTGGTCCAGCCTCAGTTCAAGCCATTAAACACGGTCATGTTTGCTTCCAATTTGATGCTCCTTTTGTCTATGCTGAGGTATATACATGAAAATTTTTATTGTAATGAGTGATATCAGTGAGACCAAAGTGAGATAGAAGATAGGGCTTCACCACCATTTATGGATTGAAAAGTTACTTCACATATCCTTCATGTCACAGAACAATCTCATCATTATATTTTGACGTGCAGACCAGTAGGTATGATATGGCTCTAGTGAATGACAGAAATTTCTCTGATCTCTGCTCACCAATGTAATAAGCAGAAAAAGCTACTCTGACACAATTGGAACTGCAGACTATGGTCATTTTTGCTTCTGAGATTCAGCTATGCTGGCAAATGGGTTACTAGCTCTAGCTGCTTAGCTTTGTTCACCACATTCCTTTTGGCTGCTGTGGGTAACGGAGAGCTCACATGGGTAGTTTGACTCACAGATCTGAGAGAGAAATATCTCAGTAAGGAGCTAGAGGGCCTAGTCTGGAGTTTTAACCTCTTGCCTCACCAGAAGTGGTGTGCCCAGAATTGTAGTAGCTTCAGGACAAGCTTCTCTCTAATTGAATTGTATATAGGTTAGGACAGAATAAAGTTATTTTACCTATTAAGCACTCCCCTCTTTATTTCTAAAGCTTTTTCATGCAAGAAATGTGTAATCATGCTCCCCAAAATTGACTTATATCTCTCTAGCCCACTCAAGTTTACACTCTTTGCTGTGGACAGTAAAATGTGTCTTAGCATAGGACTGTTTTAAACATGAAACTTCAGTGTGGGTAACCAATGGACCAACGTGTGTAACCAACATCAAGTCAACGTGTCATTGTTTTGAGGTGAGATGGGCTGACTTCTCTACTTCCATGTATCTGGATCTTTTTCATTTAATTTCTTAGGTGAATAGTGACATCATTTTCTCAAGAATGGAGAAAAATGGAACCCAAGTGATAGAAAAAATTGACACAACCCATATTGGGCAGTTGATTGTGACCAAGGAAGTTGGAGGTGATGGAATGGTGGATATTACTGAGGAGTACAAGTTCCGAGAAGGTAACCTGAAATGGCGTGGGATCATACCAATGTACATGTACCACTGTCAGGCCTTGCACGATGGATTTGCAAACCTCTGGCACTGAGAGTTCTTCATGAGAAGGTGCCAGAGTGCCCTCTGCAACTGTTTATTTGTAAGTCCATCCCAGAAACACTGTAGATGCCTTGATCACAAAGCACAAAGAGAGCACAAACTTTGCCACTCAGAAATGCTTTGGACTGAGTAAGATGTAGTCATGGAGCAACTCAAAGCATTCAAAACAATTCAAGATTTTCTTTTCTGTACACTGTTTAGAGACTTCTTACTCAGGCCAGATGTTTGCAAAAAGTAAATCAATGTAGCCATATTGATAGGAATTCAGCTACATCAATTTGTCCCATATGGCTTAAATACCAACTCACTTGGAAGCTGTGAAGTTCTCCTAATAATAACATTACCCCAGGAAGGTTCCCTCTCCTTACCCAGTCATTTCAGCTACTACAAACTATGGAAGAGGCAACCTTGTGATCAGTAGGTGGGCTAATGAAATATTCCTCTTCCTTTTCTAAATCTGATTTTCATTTATTTCTAGGCTCAGATGAGGAGAGACTGGCTCTTGAGACTGCTGTGATGTATGGCGTTAAAAAGCAAACTACCCGAGACACCACCTATCAGCCACAAACAGATATTGACATGGACTTCCAAGTGCAAAAGGCAGTCCTTGGCAATGACTTTAAAGTGACTATAACTTTCAGGAACAGAAGTCGCAACTCCTACACTGCTACTACCTACCTTTCGGGCAACATAGTGTTTTATACAGGAGTCCCAAAAAGTGAATTCAAGAAACACTCTTTCAGTGCAAAACTGGAACCCTCTTCATGTAAGGCTTGCGTTATTTGTTTTCAAAACTGTTAGCTTTTTTTCTGTCTTGTTAACTGTCACCAATGTTTTTACCTGTGGGTAAGGGTAACTCTAGTGGCTAGGGGTAGGATATTCTATTTGGTATCAGAAGGTCCCACTCCCTGCTCTGGCCCATATATCATGGTCATTCAGGGCTGAGGCTGTTTTCTTCAGGCTGTTGCTCCCTGCATAATGCTCTTTTAAACCAAGCCTCTTGTCTGGGAATTCTTTATTTTTCTTATTTAGTACAAAAGAAAGCAAAGGAGTACAGATTTTAAGCTGCAAGGTGATGTTTTTCGTACCTTTATTCCCCTAGCAGCATCTTAGCAGGTGAAGGAGAAGGTCTGGTTCCACAGGGTTTCATATACAGAGGCAAAGAGTTGGATGTTTCATCCTACCTGGTAGAAGCCGACAAGCTCTGAGTAGATTCAAGTGGATATCTGGCTTTGGAGGACTGGGTGGTTCAAGATTTTGTATTTCAAGAGATCTATAAAGTTTATATATAACTAGAATGTGTCATTATAGAGGAGGGATATCTGGGCAGGAAGAACCTCAAAGGTGAGTTATCTGTACAGAGACAGCATTTACTTTTCTTAGTGCCCTCTAGACTGCAGTAGGGAGATCCTGCCTCCCACTTCTCATCAGAAAAGCGGTTCCTGGCAGACTAGCTCAGGAGGCTGAAGGCAGTATTTTGCACTCCTCAAAGTAGGGAAGAGGGATATTCTCCTTTTTTAATTTGGACGTAACCAATCTATTTCCTGTCAGCTATCAGAGCTCCAGTCAGAAAACAGCAGGGATTGAGGGACATGCTGTACTCCGAAGTGCTACCAAGCAGGTTGGTTGTAGATCCTTGGCTTCTCTAGCGACAAGTGACTGCCAATCACTTGTTCTCCTGACAGGCCTGTGTCCTTGGTCAGTACCTCCAGATCAGCAGAAGTGATTAAAACGTCCTCTTATGGGGCTAAGTCAGAGGATCCTCCACTTGAGTTTGCTGCTGAGACAGTTGGGAGCAATGATTCTTCCCTCTTGACACTGCTACTGGGCAAAAGCAATCTTTCTGAGCACAGCAGGAGTTGGTGGGACTTTGGGAGCCCGAAGGATGGGCCTCCTCATCTGGGTCTGCTGCTGGATCACAGCAACCCTAGGTGAACTCTGACCTTTCTCGTCTGTCTTATTGACCTCATCCCAGCTCAAAAGACACTGTGAGCACTCTTTCCTCAGTTTTCCTCAGAGTTTTGTCTCAGTTAGAAGCCTCCATGGGACCACAGTTCCTGTCATGCCATGAAAAAAATATTCTCTTTCTTACTCACTTTGAGGAACATATTATTTGGAAGCAAAAGTCCACTTTATAGGGATCTACAGGTGAAGCTTATTAAAACATCTACCTCCAGTCTGTAACAAAGCCCTGACAGCTGCTCATTGGTTCTTTCTAACTCCCTGGATCATTTGAAGGGGCTCTGGAAATGGTCATTGGGTTGTTCCAACATAGCCTATCAAAACACAGTGTGAAGGTTTATAGTGGCTTACATCAGTTACTAAATATTTGATCTAAAATACTTCAAAACTTTGGGAGACTTGACCAGGTACACTAAGAAAATAATTTTCAATGGTCCTGGTCTGAATTCTATGCCACTTCTTTGATGAGGAAAAATTCAGTCATCTTGTAGGAGAGGTGCAAACTACACTTTCTGGCTGTGATTTGTGCTTAGTTCCAGAACTTATTTATGTCTGTTCTTGCGTCAAAGGTCTGTGTAAGGTATTATTATCTAAAATACAGCTTCTGCAGTGCTTTGAGGTTCACCTATCTCCTCTTTGCAAGAAATTAAGTGAATAGATGTTTAAGCATCACTGAGCCCCATAATTCATTTTTTCTAAGTTAAGCAAATGGTTTGTAAAAAGCTTCTTGAAATTATACCGTAAACTCTGAATTGAATGATGGTAAGTGAACCCAGCCTGGGGAGAGGCACCTGAGAAAATGGAACATGGATTTTTATGCATATGTACCAAAAGTATGTCCCCATCACTGCTTATGGCCAATGAGGCACTTTTTAAGGTATTCCCACCTTTCAAGATGGAAATTAGCTTATACGTGAGCTACAGCCATTGACTTGTGGGGCACTTTGTCCTGCAACGGGACAAAAACCCCTCACAAATTACACCATCTCTGAAGGTGATACATGAAACTCAAGCATGAATTCTTTCACCTTTGCCTCAGAAAGGAGTTTACACGTTCAGTCAGGAATAGTGTCTGATCAGATGGGCAGTATGAAGGGAGGCAGCATGATTGTTTCCAAGTGCATGAGAACATTCTGTCAGGGGTGTAATGGGAGAATACCTTCTGAGGCACTCAATCAGGATTTGTAGGCTTTGTTCACAGCAAGAAGCGTGAGTGTGTGTATATATATATATGCTTTATACATATATATATATAACAAAAACATTACAATACAATAAAGATGTGTCAAAGGCATTCCTCCAGCACATGCTGCTGAAAGAATGAAGCAAACTAAGTTTTCAAACAGGAAATGAATAAATTATTTTCAGAATAATGATTAAAGGAATAGTGTGGGTTGAAAATCTCTTTGAGGATTTGAATAGCTTAAACCTTCCAGTGCCTTCAAAGGTGCTCTTGCGTCTACTCGGTTATATTTAGTTGTCTCTGTTTTTTTTGAAAGGCAGTAAGGCTCAGTGTTGTGTTTCCCTTGGCTTTCCCAGGTGCAGTAAGTGGTACTGGCAACTTACCAGCACAACCAGTGCTGAGGAAATGAATGTCTATTCTTTTTTTTTTCCTGTGATGATTAAATTTAAACAGAAAAGTTTGTCTTTTCTTCCACTATAAAGTAAACCTCTCTGAGACTGTAACTAATTTGTTTACTTATTTATTTCTCAGATGAGAAATACCTTGCCTGATTTATAATTTACAGTTAAGGGCATTATGGAAAATTCTTTTACACAAGATACAGAGTGAGAGGGAGGGAGCAGGAGCACATCAAGTAAATTTAAGGCTGGCCTAGTAAATCCAGGTCAGGTGGTCACCAAGGGAATAGCTTTGAAACCAAATCAAGGAAGTGGTTTTGATGTGAGCAGATCAGAAGAGTGAAAATGGGTGAATGCCATTTACCCAACTGAGTTCAATTATCTCAGTGTTTACAGTGTATGCCACAACTACAATACAAATAACAGGCAACAGTAATCATCACAGGTAACAGATGGAAGATCTTGATGTGTTTACTAGGGTTATAATGAATGTTTACAGAGACAAGAGCTCCGGGTCTATATATTCTGCCTGGTCACTTCGTTAGCAGGTTTGCTTCTCTGCATCACATTCTCACACCATTGTTGGCCTGGGAATTGCAGTTCAATATAGTTAAAATTAATGATTCCCTGCATATCAACTGTCTAGCCTACAGGGACTTGTATCTTCCAATAATTATTGTCAGGCAGCACGTGAAAGCTCTCTGGAGGGCATGCTGGTGACAGGAAGATCATCTTGCTAAATTTTGCAGGCAAGTCCGGTGTAGAACAAAGGCAGATATCCAGACATGCCCTGGAGAGCAAGAGAGTCTCTCATCTAGCCTGCATGGGCTCACACCCCCCAGTTGCTGTTCTGGTGGCATGCCTGTTCCAGGAAGAGAGGCAAAAGAAGCACAGGAATAAAGTGAAAAAGCAAACATTTACAGGAATGACAGTTGAAAGCTCTTTTAGACCGTTATGCCCAGTAGATATGTATTACCAATCTTCTTCCTCACTTATTTTGCAGTAGTGCCTAGAAACTTTCAACAGGGACCTGAGACCATGCTGAGGGTACCGGGCAGAGGCTGTGTATAAACTCTGCCCTTGCCCCTAGGAGCTCACAACCTAAATGGAAAGAGTTAAAAATTAGAGGGGAAATGGTGAAGTAAAGAAATGAAATTAGTTTGGGGGAAAAAAATCAAAGCCATTCTTTGGGTCATAAACCACCTCTCTTCCAAAGAATTTACATAACCAGCACTGGCCATGATGGGAGAAGCAATCAGTGATTACACTGCTTCAGATGCCTTTTTTCTTTCCTGTTTCTCCCCTCAGCTAGCTCTTTCGATGTTGTGATCAAATCCAGTGAGTACATGAGTGATCTGCTGGAGCAAGCCTCCTTTCATTTCTTTGTGACTGCACGGATCAATGAAACGGGGAAGATTCTGGCCATGCAGAAGGCAACTATCCTGGAAATTCCCACCCTGCGGATCAAGGTAGCTCAAGGTTGTGGTGGAAGTGAGTGACCACCATGCTGCACACAGGCTATTCTCTACAAGGCTGTCACATTGACTTCTGGGATGGGGTAGTGGATGTGTGTGTGTACACATCATGTTAGACTGTCAGTCTAACGTGAACCTTACAAAACAGTGTCTGCCTGCAGTATATGAGGGTTTATAGGTATGCTGTATACTGTACTGAGTATCCCTACATTGAAGGCAGAGGCTGACAGCAGCACTGGTAGTAAAGAGCTGAAATGATCTCAGTGGAGGAAGGAGGGGAAAAGATCTGAAAAAGCTGGAGAAACTCGAAGACTAAGAGAGATAACTCACTGAAGTCACTCAAATCTTTAACTACTTCAAAAGTCTATTATATTTAAAGCAACATAGAACAGAGGCCTCTTGCTGAAGGATGAAGAACACTGCAGTCGAGGTTATTTTGCTTGGAGAGCTTCTGCAGGTATTGTAGAAAGTTTCTCCAAACTTGGATGGGCAGCGTTGATTTGGGACAATGCTTTTAGGATTTCCATGCTTTGCTGCTGCTCTGTGAATGTACTGTCAGTGGTGTTCCCTGAAAGCTGAAGGATTTCTGCATGGTACCTATGAAAATATAGAAGTGTAATGATTGTGATAGGACAAGGAGCCTATATTGTACAGCAAAGACAGGGCTGAGGCTTAGACTTCTCAGTGTATAACCGAGCATCAAAACAAATCACCTTATTTTCAAAAGCACCAAGCATTCTTCTGCTTTGAATGTTGGAAACTCTATCTGCTTTTTTCAAATACTAAAACAAAAAATCAAAACACCTGTTCAGGAAGCATGAAGAGTGATCTTGAAAGAAATCTAAGTTTACTTACCTTTTCCCCTTTACATATTTATTTGAACCAATGTTCAGGTTTCCATGTAATAATGTATGTAGCAATGGCAGCCTCCTGCAGAAAAAGGTTTTTAAAAACATAGATCAAAATTACAGTTAAGTTTGCAAAAAAATCCATTCCATTTCATGGTCTTCAGAAATGTCACAATGTTCTGATCAGATATTTTCAAACAAAATATTTTTGGTCTACTGAACATTCTAGAGAGGAGGTAAACAAGACAGATAAATGATACTTCAAATAACTGTCTTCAATAGCCAAATTTTAAAAGTAGAGAGTCTTTTAAACTCAATATTTAAACAGAACATCTTATACAGCATTTCAAATTTCAGCTTCCAAATAGTTTATCTTCCCTGATGATATGAAGGAAGGATATTTAGTACATAAGCTAGGCTGTTGTCCAATAACCCTGTTTTCTAGTAAAAGTCAGTTTGTCTCTTCACTGTTTTTTTGTGATGTGTGAAGATATGCTGAAATTTTAATAGCTGGACATTTTTAATTGTGTGTGTGCGTATGTATATACCTATAGAGGAAGCTGAACTTTATTGTTTTCTAAAGAAATCTGAGAAAGTTTATCTCCCAAGTTTTCTTGTCAGATTTCTTCATTGAACGTGACTGACAGACCAGATTTCTTAATGTGAGAGTGAGAGAGCAGAATGAAAAAACACCTTTCCCCTCACATCTTTGACACCTTTGATCTTTCTTTGTTGGTCTAAGGAGACTGTCAGAGTTAACAGCTGAGGAAATTACACCACATTCTAATATAGCTTGAGATCAGATTACAAAATAAGCTCTTCAAATACATACTATAGTTCCAGTTGTATGTGTGGGACTTCAAGATGATTTTGAATACCCTCCAAGTACCAGTGCTCTTAAATGGTCAGTTGAAACAAGGAGGATGTAAGATCTCTAATAGGACTAGGACTGATGCCACTGATGTCACTTGCAAATTCAGGTGCCCAAATCCTGTTGAGAGTTTAGCTGTATCCTTTCCTTTACTCCAGTCAATGTATTGGTATTAGGTGCACAGCAATCCCTTAGACTAGAGTCTTTGCAGTTTTTTGCAACTGTCATACTCCTATAAAAGAGCACTTTAAATTTATTGACAAGATATTTGTTCTTCTTAGTTACCTTTCTCAAGACCCTTCAAATCAGCTCATGGACCATGAACTGGGCTGGCAGACCTGCCGGCCACAAGTTGAAAACTCATGCCTGAGCAAAACAAGCATACATATTCTGTGAGAAATGCTGTATTTCCATAGGAAGAAAACCCAAATCCCTATGCATGTAGCCTTTGTTTAAAACCACATTCATTTGGAGATGTTTTCCAGGCAGCTGTACTACTGGCACTGATCCAAAGGGACAGACAGATCCCTTCAGCTATGTACTGTAATACACAAGGAACTCAATGTGATCACTGTTCATTAGTCTCATAGTTTAATGTTTTCCAGTGCAAAATATGTTGCTTTTTTGCTTCCATAGGCGTTTGGAGGAAAACTGGCCCTCATGTCTCTGTAGAGAACATGTGCAGGGTTAGAAACCCTTCAGAGCATGAGAAGAGGTTGCAAAGCAAGGGGAAGATGGGCACAACACTTTTGAGAGGTGCAGGCAATGTAGCCTGGTGTTTCTAATTTAGGATAGTAAGACCTGCCCTTCTCTTCTGGAGCTTATGTCCTGAGCAGATCATACTCTTCAGTGCTGGTGGAGAGTCTGAGCAGACCATGAACTTCAGTGCTTCAGGTCTCTCCACTTCAGTGAGGAGCTTGAGGAGTGGGGCAGCGTTTGGGGAAGAGGCCCCCTCAGCTGGACTCACCCTCTGTTGGACCTCAGCTCCAGAACTGTCAACACGCAGACTTCTGGTTTTCTATGGAAATGAGGGCCTGCCTCCCAACCTGACATGTAGCTTTAGGGAAAATTGCAGTGGGTGGAGAAATGTTCAATGGTACCTGTGAGCCCATGCAACAATTTTCTTCTGACTAGTCTTTTTTGCCTCGTGCTGTTTTATTGGGTGCTCCACTGCGCTTCGTCTGCTGCCTTGCAAGTACTGCGTATATAACCCTACTGATTTCACTATGGGACATTTTATTACTATTAGTTTCTGGAGAATTGTGCTTTCCTTGTCTTGCAGACCAAAGGTGAGCTGGTAGCTGGTAAAGAAATGTCCGTGATTGTGGAATTCACCAATCCTCTGAAACAAACCTTGGAGAACGTCACGCTCCGCCTCGAGGGACCTGGTGTTCTGAGAACAATAAAAAAGGAGTTCAGGTAGGGAAGAAAGCGCAACTAGCTGGGAATTCATCCCCTGCTTACTCACCAGAGGAAGTTCACGAGACATCTAACTAATGCTGTGCTGAGTAATTTAATTCAGACACACTCTCTGTACTTTAAAATTCAATGCACAGGGGAGCTATAGGTCTCAACAGTCAAAAGAAGTCAGGTTGTCCAGAGAAACAGCATTTCTTCTGTTCAGTACCAGGGTTGGAGGAAAGGTAGTGATTGTTGGTAGTTGCTAGTGCAGCTGAAGTTTACTTTTTCACTGTATTACACTATTTTTAGCACTTGACAATAGCACCTACAAGCCGCTATCACAGCAAGAAAGATTTATCCTACACATGAAGTGTTTACTGCCACTCACTCAGTATGTGCAAATCGAGTCCTGTGCTGTTTTTCAAAAAGGACTTTTCTCTGCTCATGTTAATCATGATTATACAAGATGTTCAGGTACCTCAGATGATCTTTTCAAGCTTATGTCAAGACACAAAATGTGCACCGGATGCAAAGTCTGCGGGAATAGCTGTGGCATGTATGTGAGCACACAGCTCCCCCCAATAGCACCACTGCACAGGGCTACCCTGGCACAGAGGAGCATTCCCAGCATAGGGTGCTCCCAGGCCTGAGGAAAAGGAAAACCACCTCCATTTTTCTCAGTCACACCTCATGCTGACACCATGGTACATGTATACTAAGCAAGTTGTTTCCTAAATCCTCTCTCCATTTGAGTTGAGTGTTATAAGCTTAGCATTAGCCAGTTCCAGGGTATATAATGGGGATCCTCGGAAAATTTTGCAGCCATTGCTTAGTCTTGGGCAGCCAAAGCAGTGTTATCTATCATTACCTGAGCTGATGGTCCCCAGGTATGTGCAAAATGATTTTGAAAAATTGCCTGTGTTCAGCAGCTGCATAAATTGTCAGCATCCTCTGCAGCTGGTAGGGGAGGTTTGGGCCTGACTGCATCTGGGACAGGGATAAAAAGATCAAAACCAGTCTCCAGAGTGTAGCTGATAGAAAAATTACTGTGAAAGGGCATCGTACTGTGCTGGCTTTGTGCACGTGGTATGTCACAGGCACTGCTGAACATGACTCAGCATGGTCCACAGGAGTTACACAGGTTGCAGCAGTAGCCTTCACTGCTGCCCAGCTGTGCCAGCCTCCCCTATTGTTCAGCATCCTTCACAATCCAACACCTGATGTGGGCTGTTCTCATCTTCAAGGATGCAAAAATTGTCAGGTGCATCAAAGGCACAGGAGTTAGGAAGAAAAATGACTCATGGAACAGACGTCATTTTCCTTTAAGTCACCATATTTTCCTCTTTTCAGTAATGCCCTTGGCATCATTTAAAATGGAAATGGATCAGCTTAGTCATTTTAAGGTTCTCAGATGAATGTAGGATGCAGGTGATACACACAGAGGACAGAGAAGGGGGCAGTTGTAGTTTATTTAAATAATAATCACATTTGTCTCCATGCGTTCAAAGTGATAAATGGCTCTGGTGTGGTGATGGCTCAGCATATTATGCAGAACCATTCATCACTGAGTTCTCTCCCAGGAAGAATCAGATCAGGGTGGCTTTACTCCATTTGCAAGGAGAACTAAACACATTCTAGGCTTTCCCCACGTTTCCTCCACTTCCCTGTTTATCAGGGACTGTCACATATGGGATATGGCTTATTCTAGTTCTTTGAAGGGATAAGATTTTGACCTCTCTGTATTTTTAAGGTAGCTTTTCTGTATCACCTGTGTGACTCCACAAAACATGTTTCGTGTGATCCAGCAGATACAACATTATTCTGGGAATGTAGTGGCCTGGGGACTTCAGTTTTGGCCATTCATAAAATCTATATGTAGACACAGATATTAATATTTAGCTATTAGCCTCAGACGGATGAGGAGCATGACTTATGAAAAAGCCTTTGGCAGCAGCAATTCCTACACGGGGCATAGTCTTCGCATGACAAATGAGAACTAACCAGGCTGTGATAGATAGTGTTAAAAGGATTATAGCCAAGCATGCTTTCACACAAGCAGGTAAGTCAATTTGGGTGTTTCTACATACCAAAGCCCAGCTAGTATTAACATTTGTAGAGAGAAGCAAGTTTTTTTAGAAATAGGACAGCAGAGAGACAGGAAAAGGTGGGTTTGGTTTCCCAGCACAGCTGTTGTCTTCCTGCACACATACACACACACACTCATATATATATATATATATATATATATATATATACACACAGATGATAGCACCATAAAACAAGGATGGAAATACTACCTCTCTCACTGAAGCACTGTAAAGATGCAGCCCAAAAACCGTCATCCACAGAAAATCTGGCCCCCCACAACTTCTTGAGAAGTGCAGTCAGCACAGTAGATCTGTGTAATATCATCTTCACTTTCCATACAGATAATCCCTTGCAGATACTTCCCATACAGATAATCCCTTGCAGATACTTCCCATAAACTCTACACTTTAAAAGGTATTTAACCTTCTGCAGCAATTGAAGTCATTGCATTATCATGCTACCATTTTACTCAGCATCTGGTGGATGCAGGCAGGCCAGCCAAGGCAAACACAATCTCTCTCATTAATAACAAAGATAGAAAGATACCTTCTGGAAGCAATCTGCACATGCTCTTACCAAAAATATGATCTTCCTCTGCTTTTTTTCCTAAAACTGGGTACATACCCTAAGGTACCTATGGGCATATATGTGAAATGCAGTGCACTGCCATGCAGAGATACCTAAGCTAACCTCCAAAGAGCTAGAATGCCTCGTTTCACCAGGGGTAGACTTGCACTGAGACAAATATTCAGGTGAGAGGATTCCAGGCTAGCTCATTTAGAGCTAATTAAGGTTTCTTGTCATGTGGCAGCTTGTGCTAAGACTGGGAAGACATTCCTGTCCTGACCCTGGCATAGGACATGGAACCTGAGAATCAAATCCTATCAGATGAGAATTTTAAACAGTGACTGAAGTATACACTTACTTTTCTCTCACTTTGTTCTGTTGTTTGCAGAATACTATAGCTGTATAAGATAAGAAGACTGCCTAAATTTATAATCCTCTTATTTAATGATGAGGAAAAGAACATTCATTTTAATAAATAGCTCCCCACTACACTACCTTCTGCACTGGTTCCTTTGGAGCAGTTGTATCCTGACACCTCCCAAACACAATCGATCAATCAATATCAGCCTTCAAAATCCTCACACAGAACGTAGTGAAGGCACTGAGAACACACAAAAACCCAATACTTGAGGCTCTCCGTACATCTTAATTGTAGCAAAAAATTGAAAATCAAGAGCAGTGCAGAATACAGTTGCTTTAAAGTATGAGTTATCAAGAGTCATACATAACGGAAAATGTAAAATGCAAGAGCAACTGTGAAGAGCAGGACTCCCAAGAACACTTTTACTTACTTGTATGGACATGAAGGAGTCATCTGAAGTGGCCAGTAAGGAGATCTGCTGATGTTACAAGTGGGGCAGGGGGGTTCAGAGTAGAAGCTGGCAGAGGGGTTCAGCATCTCATCAGCACCGCATCAGGCTTGCATGGGAATGCCCTAGACACTTCATAAAAGGACTTGTTTAACCATGTAAGGAATCAGCAACAGGTTATAGGCTATAATAGACAGGACAAATGGAATTATAAAGTAGAAAAAATATATGCTAGATATAAAGAAGGTCATTCTGAAGGTGGAGAGACAGGAAGTGACAGGAGGCAGAAGAAAATGGATTAATTTTGGAAATTTAAAATTAGCCTGGAGGAAAGGCCAGAAAAGGCTTTGACAGAGTCAGTTATTAGAGGAATGGAATATAGAGGGAGTAATTTATAGAACATTTATGAGACTGAGTGAAACATAAAAAATTTGGGACATGTTATACTATCCACCTTCAGCTTCTCTGTTGTATAGTCTTTTGAGAACATTGGCCGACTGATCACAATATTATGACTTTTTTTCTACAGGAGTATCCCAATGAATTCTACATTGACCTGGGAAGTAAAATGCATCCCAATGCGACCAGGGTTACGAAAGCTGATTGCAAGCCTGAATTGTGATGCTTTGAGGCATGTGTATGGTGAGCTGAATGTCCAGATTCAGAAACCATGAACCAAGGTGCTGCCTTCTTCTCCCATTTAGCTGTATCTCAAAAATATTATGGTAGGGGCGTGGCAGAGGAAGAGGTGTAGATTCGATTAGTGTTATTTTGGTCATCCTTGCGCTGAAAAAAAATTGATTTGGAAAACTAATTGGCAAGACTGGGGAGAACATGAAAAAAGCACCTGGATAATGAAGGATTTAAAATCAGATACATGTAATTAAGGCAATTCTAGGCCACGTTATCCCTATAGTTCACTTGTATTTATGGTCTTTTGCATTAATGCTTCAAGGAAATTTGAAAAGCTCCGTTCAACTCCATTCAGGTTTTAATTAAGGCCTGATATTTCACTGAAAAGGGAATAAAAGGAAAAAAAAAGAACCCAGTATTATAAATTCTTAGACTGAATTACACAACATTATGGTAGATCATTCAGGCTGCAATAGAAACAGGTATTTCTAGCTAAAGGGTCTGCTTTATCTTACAGTGTAATAATGTTCTGGTTCATGGAGAGCTGACTTTATTGGAAGCATCTCAGGATGTGTTATCTCCAGAATATTCTCAGCCTCTTGTTTCCTCTTGCAGCTTCCCTCTGCTTTTTCTCCTACTCTTTCATGTGTACAGGCACCCACACATACTCACTTCTGTATTCCATACCCTCATCCCACCCTGTGTGCTGTTGATATGCTGTTTCTCTTCTTTGCTTGGTGAAAATCCCTGTTTAGAATTCATCACACCAAACTTGCATTTCCTGGTGTATCACATCTCTTGTGTATGATGTGTTCTCCCTTCTTCACCTTTTTCTGTCTTTTTCCCTCTCCTGAAACCACCCTTTAAACCCATTTTCCACATGTGTGTGTATTGGGAGTGTTCATCACCCCAGAGGAATTCAGGCTGGTAAATGGGGTGAAGATGAAAGGGGTGGAGGGGGAAGCCTGAGAGTCTTTTCCTGCTAGTCCCACAGTCCTGACAAATATCTTGCACTGGAGCTGGGGGCGAGTTTAGACTAAAAATCTGGAGATGAGTTTAGACAAAAAAGTGCCTGAAAGTTCCCAGGAATCATAGCTGCTTCAGAGTGAAGTCCTGTAACCACATCAGAAACTTTGCAATGTCAAAGCTTCCCATATAAGTCATCTGGGATAGAAGGGACTGTTGGAAGTTCAAGGTGACAATCTATATTAAGTAATTAAGCAGTTTTACCAGGGTCTACATCATCTAATAAAATTATCCATTTGCTCTTGCATATAAACCTGCTTTCCATTCCAGACATTTTATAAATACAGTGTAATAAGAATTTAAAATAAAGTGTGTCTGATTGCACTTGTGTCTTTTGTTCTGTATTTTGATAAAATACTTCTTCTACCTAGTAACACTATAGACACCAGCTGCTGCATTTTAATTGTAAAAGTTAGAAAATTCACTTCTAAACCATGCTAATAAAATGCCTTTTTTGCTGCTAATAAGAAAAACCTGTATTTACTTAAATGAAAAAAAAAATAAATTACAGGCTCAGTTTAACTATTTTCCTTTGGTTTTCCTTCCATTTCAACAACTGCATTGGAGAAGGTGACAGTTTCCAGAGCACATCACTAGTGCCAGCAAAGAGAATCCCCAGATTTCTCTGGAAATTGCTTTAACAGGTCAGAGCCCATTAAGAGGCCAGTTTGCCCCAAGGAAACCTTACCTACATCCCAATTCTAAGGTATGCTTCTCCCAGCTAAATATTTCAAGGCACTTCACTAACAGACATTAAGCTGAAAGACATTTGCCAAGAGATGGGAAGTATTTTTATTTATAGTTTATAGAGGGGTATATTGAAACAAAAAGAAGTGATGGCTGGGAATGGAGATCAGGGATGTCAATAGACCTTGGCATCACTAGCCCGCTCACTCTGTAAAGAGTAGCTCACAAAAACCTAAGGACAAAATAAGGATAGCCTCTAAGATTTCAGCCACTCATCAGCATGGGCTGTCGCATGAATCATGAGCAAAACGTGACTGAAGAATCAGTGAGTGCTGTAATTGCACTTTATGTACACATAGGACATAATCAATCAATAATAAGGTCAGATTGGCAACCTCAGATCTGGAAGAACTCCGAACGTGAAAAAGTTTCTGATTTCAAACTCTTCAGCTGAGGGTCTTTTATGAGTGGGCCAAACTTGTGTCTTTAGCACAACCATCACATCTCAGAGATGCACTGGGGAGGAAATAGTCCAAAACCAACCTCCCTTCCTCCACTGATCCCACAGTCCAGCAGCTCAGAGAAGCCAAATACAAACAAAAGTCTGTGTGCATTCCTGAAAGCACACTTCATTTGTTACCAACTTGTTACACCCAAGCTGCAGGGCAGTTGCTTCAGAACCCATCAGTTTCTGGCATTTAAAATCTTGATGTGATCAAAAAGAAGCACATCTTACAAGCACAACTAGGAAGAATATATTGTTACTCTTGCTAAAAATAGTCTAATCAAAGAATTGTTATTAGCTGAAATAATTAGGATAGAACTGTACTTTTATTACAATGATACTAACATGTACAGCTGAAATTATATCAAGTAAAACTGGTACACGTAAACTTTCTAGCATACTCCTCTTTCTCTGCCTTTTTGTGCACCACTACACTGCCCGTGATGTGCTGTGGGTTGGGGCCTGTGTAACAGCAAGTCATCAGTGTCCCAGGTCCTCCACCAAACAGAGTGATGTTACTGAGGAGTTTGTCTTCCTCTTCACTGAAGTAAGCACAACAGACAATTTCTTCTTCCTCACCCTATGATACATCAGAGGTCATTTTTACATGCTTTCTAGTACACTCCACATCTTGTTCTTTTTTTATTGATTCAGCTACACAGTAGTTCCAAGTTTGCTGGATGTGATGCAATTTACATGTGTTGTGTATACGTTGTTTGTTCTCCTTTGTTACTTCTAGGATTTGTCCTACCTACCTGCTAATGTTGCACCCTTTGACAACTAATAATTAACCACTGGTGAGCTATTTGTATCCCGAAGCCTCCAGCATCATCCAACACCTGCACTGCCTGTTATCACACCATCCTAGTGAACCTTCATGCAGCATTTTATTTTGGGATCATAAATAGTTCAGTCTACACAGAATAACTGCTTGTTATTACTGTCTACTAGTTACAAAAAGGACATACAACAACAAACATTTTACCATGCAATTGGATAAAGCAATGTAAAAATTAAAGTCAGTAGTAGATACCAGGTGATTAGATAATTGCTAGTGACTGATACTACCAGTGATAATTGGTTTGAACTGAAACTAATCAATAAATGCTCTGCCAAATGGGTGACATGCTTGGCCCCTCCCAATTTTCTGCTGCTCGGGACCTTAGTTCCTGCTATACCCTTTCCTCAGCATATTGCTTTCATGTTTGTCCTTGTTTTTCCCCAGGAGGAGGCTGTGGCTGCTGGTGCTACCCTCTGAATTTGAGTGATGGCACAAGAGAGGAAGGTGACCAGATCAGAGGGTGTGGGAACACTGTCAGAGCTTGTTCAGACCAAAATGAATAGCCCTGTTATGAAGGAGGAAAGTCAAAAGTATACTGTGAGTGTTGATGGAAAGAGAGGGATTGTTTTGTATATTGGAGTTGGCATGATAGCTGGTAATGAGTAAGGATGAGATATGCATGTTAAAGAAATGTATATTGGAGTTGTATCTGTAAAGCAAGACAATGACTGAGAGAAGGTGAGAGGTGAAAGATTTACTCAGTGCTTAAAGGTAAAGTTTAAAAGCTTGAGTTGAGTATTGAAGAAAAAAAACAACGACTGCAAGCTAAAGAGGGAAAAGATGGCCAAAATGAGGCCAAGGAAAGATTCCTGGTGGAGAGAGGTGGGAGGCAGAGAAAGCTTTAAGAGAGACTGCTGAGGCTTTTGTGCTGAGAGGTGTGATACAGGGGACATCCACACGGTGATGGAGGAGGAAGAATGAGCTGTCAACTAGGTAACTATTTTGCTTATTGCTGCATGAGCTGTGAGTTATGAATTAGAGAACTGTGAGTTGGAGACATCATGAATTACACGATGAATCAGTGAATTATGCTACAGGATCATCTTGGTTGGGCACAAATGCAATGTAGACTCTCTGTTCAGTGGCTTTGATGGCTTTTTCTTCTGTGACCTTTGACAGCTTTGTCAGATTTTAGCATTTATCACGTGCTTTGCAAGGAGCTCCCCTGGTGTGCTAGCAAGAGATATAATGAAACATCTTATGTTTGTTTTGAACCTCATTCTCCTACTGACCTCCTTTGACATCATGTACCTCTGCTACTGGGAGAAACAGCAAGAACTTCACTCTATAACCTCTGATCTATAATTTCATAGATTTCTGTACTGTATTTCGCCCAAATCACATATTTTTCAGATTTAGAATTCCTAGCTCAGCCACAGAAACTCTTCCATGCTTGTTTCTCTCCTCTGAATACCTCCCAATATTATGTCACTGCAAGTATCATTTAAAGCCAATGCAGCTGTTTTAAGCATCTGTATTTTGAAAGGACACTGCTGTGCAGGGCGGATGTTGGTCTCTTGGGATCCAGATTCATTACTCCACTGCAGCTTCAAAACCTGCCCTGTTTACAAGTTCTGTACAGTAAAAGTTGAACACTTTTTGTGCTTTTGCATGCATTGTTTCATGAAATCCCTCCCTCTGTCATACAACCACTGCTGTGACTGCCCTTGAAAAGACCACGGATCATCTTTCCACAACAGTTTACTGATAATAAGTAGGGCATTAACATTTGAAAACCAACTAATTTTTTCATCACTATGTAGATTCAAAGGGTTCTGAGATGCTCTTTAATGTCATCTGCATGCTGCTCTTCTTCAAAGTACATATGTCTCAGAGTCTCAGTGGTTATGTGGTGCTCTTCATGTTGTTTTATCTGACTACAGAATTCCTCTGTTCGGAAATAGCCTGCAAAATAACAGTGAAATTCTGCTGTGAACTTCAGACAACTGAACAGAAAAAACCTTACAGAGTAAGGGGTAGATCTAAGGATCTGTAGCTCAGCTTTAATATTCTTTAGCTATATTTGCATTAGTTGGTTTTAGAGGAGCAGATCTGTAGAGTGAAGCAGCTGGTGTTGAGTACCCAATAGCTACACTGTATTTTTGAAGGTTTATAGTAGACTTGTCCATCTCTGGTCTAAATGGTTATGAGCACTTGGAGAGCCTTTGATGCACTCTTCCATTCCCTCTCAGACAAAACTGAGTTGAGAAAAAGTGTACTCTGAAATCTCTGTGACATGAACTAAAACACTGTAAGCTGCTGTTTCATAAACATATTCCTAGTCAGAAGATGTAAGGGATGGCAAAGATCTGCTTGGGCAATGCAATCTGAAAGCACTGAGGCATTCAGTTTTTCCCTGTGTGGGTGTAATGGTACAAAAGTACCATTACTGTGGTGTGCACTCCTATAGGAGGCACAAGTCAACTGTCCACTGTAAGCAACTGTCAAAGTGCACCTCCAGAAGTATGAATACTTGATAGTCCAGCTTTAAGGAAAAGATTCTCTAGTCTCTCACAGGTCTGATTTCTTATCAGCAGGAAATGCTGGTGCTCTATATAGAGTGGTACACTGATCCCATGTGAACCCCAGAAGTATTTTTATGCTAATCTAGCTGTATCCATGCTTGTACCAAGATGCATGCTTTGGGAACTGGTCTCCTTATAACCAAATGCAGTGTACTTCGCTAGTGATGCACATGGGCTCCAAATTCCCTTTGCAGCTGTAAAGATTGCCCTGCTTTTTGCTTAGAAGTTTGTTGGGTTTGTTGTCCTTTATAAAACAAACAACTTGAGCTAATTTAGGGACTGTTATAAAGATTATATTCCAAAGCCTCTGCTGCCTAAACATTTTAATTTGTAGGAAGACATTTTCCCTACTATGTTAAGCTTTGCACAGGGCCATTATAAACCCCACTGCAACATGCTGATGAATTATTTTCTGCGTTGCAACTGGTTGTTAGGTACCCACAGTTTTTGCAATATGAAACAATACTTTGTGCTCCAATCAGCTAGTTCTGGAAGAGCTTTTAAGTAATAAAACCTATTCCCAAAGCTCT